GGTGCCGCGGTCGCGGACTTGACGGCCGTGACGGGCGACAACGCGTTGCAGCAGCGCGTCCGGATGCATCACGCAGATTGCTCCGCAGCAGACCAGCGAGGCGTTCCGTCGCTCTGTCTCTCTCGCACTCAAGGGGCTCTGCGTGAGAGTGCGAGAGAGAGAGAGAGAGAGAGAGAGAGAGAGAGAGAGAGAGAGAGAGAGCGACAGAAAGTTCCTCTGACTCGCTCGGCCGTTCGCACCCCGCCCGCACCGCGCCCAGCCGACCACCCTCATGGGAAGCAGTGGGAGCCAGGACGGCGGCGGCATCCCCGCGCCGAGCGCCGTCCGTGTGCGATGGCGCGGAACAGCCGCCAGCATCCGTGCTCGCCAAAAGGTCGCGGGTTCAACTCCCCGCGCGGGTAAACTAATTTTCCGTCCGGGCAGCGCAGCGCGCGCGCATCCCTGCGCTGCGCCGCTCGGCCACAATTTGTTCTTTGTAGTCTCCAAGAAGAGCAGCGCGGCGTCCTGCTGCAGGCTGGCTCGCGCTGTCTCTCTCGCACTCCAGCGGCGTGCCGGCAGGGTTGGAGAGAGACGGCGCGACGAGAGCACTTTGTTCGGAGTCAAACTGCTGCACCGCAGCGCGGCCAGCGCGGACGGGCCGTGAGGGACGCGTCCGGGGCGAGGACGCCGACGACGGCGAGGACGTGGATCCGGGGGGCGGGCGGGCACGCGGACGAGCAAGACCAGCACGCCGCGGACGCCACCCCGTCGAAGACGTCCAAGTCGGAGCAGCACGACGAGTGATTGCGCCGCCGATAACCTACCCCCTCCCATCGCCTCCCACTTCATCCCGAGCTGTCCGAGCCGCGGACTGATTCCGAGAGTCGTTTTCGTCGCTCTGTCTCTCTCGCACCTATACGGGACGCCCCAGGAGTGCGAGAGAGACAGAGCGACGAAGTCGACTCCCGGAACCAGTCTGCTGGACCAGAGCCCTGTTCCATTCCGGCTCAACAGCGAGACAAACACAGCGAGGAGAGGAGTGCCAACCGCCACCAGTGCCAGCAGTGAGACGCCATCGGTGTCACGTTGGTGTCACTCTGTCCGGCGGCGCCCTGCCTCGTCACCCAGTGATTCATTAATCCAGCCTATCCAGCCGCCACCGGCAGAGAGGCGGGGGTGGGGCCCTGGCGGGGCCGCCAACCCCCGACCCGCCCCCGCCGCCCCCTCCGCCCCGACGCGGCGCCCTTCACCCCCGCCCCCCGCCCTTCCCAGACGCCCCGTCCCGGCCGTCCCGGCGCCACGCATCGAGGCGCGCATCCGCAGACCCGGCTTCGCTGCTTCGCCCTGGCTGCCCTTGGCTCGCCTTGGCTTGAGCCTTGGCTCGCCAACAACACGTCCGCACTGTGGGCACACACTGCAGGCGCGGCGCCGCGCGGTGAGGCAGGCTGGCGCCCCCGCCGCCAAACTAGAGTAGTAGTGTACCAGCAGCCGTGTCTTCATTGAGCCGTCCTGCGCCTTGCTCTTGTTCGGCGGGCAGGGCGCCGCGCGCCGACGAATCGGGGTCACGGCCCGCCCCGCTGCGCCACGACATGGCCCGCGTAGCGTAGCGTAGCGCCGGCACAAAAAACGCCATGTGTGTCTGTTGGGCCGCGCGATACGCAAAGACAACAACACGGCGACCTAGGCGAGACCGCCAGACTGCCAGACCCGAGACCTCCCCGTCGAACTTCCCCCACGTCCGCCGCGCGGCCCGCTTTACCCTCATCCTCATCCAGACCGACAATGCCGATTATCACAACAAGAACCTCTCGCGCGCGCTCTCACACCACGCTCACGGCCTCACGGCTCACGCACGACAATGAATACAAAACCGCCAATGAGGCAGATTCAGCAGCCGAGGTGCGAATGTCCCCCTCCCCCCGGAATGATAAACAATAGAGAGCAGCGCTGCTGCCTCGCAGGTATGCGCGTGCACCTGGGCAAAAGAGAGAGACAGGGGGGGGGGGGGGGTGCATGGGGGCGCCTGCCAGTCGACCCCTCCTCCAAGTCCTTTGTCGCCTTCGTCTCCTCGGTCGTTGGGCAGTGGCGTAGCTGTGCGTGGCTCCGCGCGCGGGGCGCTGTCATCCCGGTACCGCGCTACGCCCCTGCCTGGAAAAGGGTTTCGAACTACCGCCTGCTACAAAACGTCACATCACCGTTCCGGGTAAATTTATTTACGCTCGTCGTTTTTCTACGACACCTTCCTCGAGGTCCTCCGGGTCCTCCGGGAGGACGACGTGACAGGCGGCGGCCATTATTGGCCCCGGAGTCCAGAACTTGGGAGGGGGGAGGGGGGGGGGGTGCTCCTTGACTCGGCGGTGTCTCCATGGAGCGCACCTTGAAATCGGCCTTTTCCAAGGAGAGTCCTTTTCAATGAACTTGCTGCCCTCACCTGCGCGAGCTGATTCGGACCAGGGTTGCCGTCGCGCTCGCACTCATGGGGCGCCCCGTCAGGGTGCGAGAGCGACAGGCAGCGATGAGGCCCTGCAGGGCGTGCTCGCGGACCGCGCGGCCGCCTGCTGCATTTCACACTGTAAGCGGTCCTGTGGTCCTGTTGATTAGGCCCCACCCCGCACGGTGCAGCCTCCCTGCCGCCTCAGCGCCAACAAAAGGACGAGCAGGGACGCCAGGTAAACACTGTCCCGGGCAAGCAAAGCGGCAAACGGCCTCTGGCCCACCGTGTTCCGAGAAGCTTACTAACGCATACCTCTGCGCGTCCGTACGTCCGACGACTGTCTGAGTGTCCGTCCGTCCACGCGTCCCTGTAGACCATAGAGGCCATGGAGGGAGGCCAGCAGGGCCAGGGCGAGCTAGAGTCCCAGGACTCTAGTGATGAGCCAGTAGGACGATTCCGAGCACTGCTTTTGTGGCCCAGGCACCCTTACGGCAAGCCCCATGAGTGCGAGAGAGACAGAGCGAATAGAGCAAGTGCTCATAATCAGCCTGCAGACAGACGGGTGGTGTACCCGGAACTGGGTGCAGCAGGGAATGCAGGGGCTATGGTGGCGCGGGCGGAGCGGACACCCGACGCCACGCGCCGCTGCAAGTGCTGAAAACGACTGCTGATCGCGCGGTAACGCGAGGCGGGGCCCCAGAGGCGGGGCGCAGGGCAGCCAGGCCGTCGTCTAGGCCAAATGCTGAATGCCTGGAAGGCTCCGAGAAACGGACTCGCTGACGCCTGGCGAGCGCTGAGGCCGGCAGGCTGACTCCGAACGGCGCGGTGTCTCTCTCGCACTCATGGGGCGTACCGCAGGGGTGCGACAGAGACAGAGCGACGGACCACACTGCTCGGAACCACTCTGCGGGCTGACGCCGCCACTGCCGTTGCATGCAGACACTAATGCGTGCCCCACCTGCCCCGCCGACGGCCGCGCCGCACGGTCCTGCCAGCCCGTCCGTCCCGCCAGTGTCTGCCAGCCCCGCCTGTCCGGACAGCCCGGCCAGCGATCCAATCACCTCCTGCCAAAGCAGCCAAAGCAGCCAAAGCACCTGACCTGACGGGCACGGCCGAGTTTCTCCGGAACAACAATTTGCTCCCCGACGAGAACAAGAAGGGTTACCGCGGTTACGGACGTGTCCGGCCGGCCGGCAGCCGACTCCAGCGGTGTGTAAACTGGCGGGGGAACGCAACGCACACTAACGCACACCAGGACGGCGGCGTTGCGCGGGTTGCGGGCCACCCTCCAAGGGCGTACCCGTATCGGGTTGCAGATTCCGTGCGACCGGGACGCCGCGTCGCCGGCCACCCTCCGGCCAGCAGGCCGATTCCGAGAGTCGTCCCGTCTCTCTCGCACTCATGGAGAGTCCCTACGCGTGCAAGGGAGACAGAGCGACGAAAACGACTCTCGGAATCGGTCGGCAGACTTCCAGGGCGGGAAAACTGTTCCAGTGGGAAGAGCGGCGCGGTGTTCTGTAACCCTTTGCCGCCAACACTCCAAGTACTGCGTCTGTCTTCACGCATCAATCTTGCCGCCCCGCCCCGCCCCGCCAGCCTACGACGTTATGCGTCTGGCACTTGAGCATTTGTGACGGGGAAACGCCATGGCGGCAACCTTTTTTCTTCCCGCCCAGCCCGTTTGACGCCGGCCCTCACAGACTGACAGGGGCGTAGCTGCTAGGGAGAGGTCATGGCCCCCCAGAGGAGCCCCTCGCCCTCCCCCGCGCGGAGCTACGCCACCGACTCACTCGTCCTGGAACTCTGTTGACGGCGAGGCCGCGGCGTTGGTACAGTTGGTGGGTACGTCTGTGTACTCACTCATGCCCCGGCTGTACGTGCGTGCCGCCGCCCCTCCCCGCCCCCTCCTCCGTGCCTTTGACGTGGACTCACCTGCAGCGCGGCGGCGGAGGCAGAGGCAGGCATCCCGGTCCGGCCGGGCCTTACTCCGTGCCTCCGTGCCTCCATCGCTGGCCGCCCGACCGCGCCCAGTCGATTCGGTTCATTCGAGGCGGTAAAGACCGTCCGAACACGACGCGGTCCCTTAGAGCGTGCTTACAGTGGCGAGACGCGGTGCGAACGCGAAACCCGCGCGAGGGGGACGCGACGGGCACACTGGCGGCGGCCGCTCTCCGCGATAGTGGAAGTCCTTGGAGCCGAAATGGAGGAAGGTCAAGGCCCGGGGCCGGCGTGCCGGCAGTGCCGGGTACCTGCAGACTGATTCCGAGAGTCGTTATCGTCGCGCTGTCTCTCTGGCACTCATGGGGCGTCCCGTGCAGGTGCGATAGGGACAGAGCGACGAAACCGACTCTCGGAATCAGTCTGCTGTAGTACCGGGTACCTGGCTCGAGCGGCCGCGCCGGTACCGGCCTGACGCACTGCCAACGCCGCGGCGTGAATGAGCGGCACGCCACTCACGGCAGCCAACCGCGTCGCGACGTCTTCGTCGCTCTGTCTCTCTCACGCCCATACGGCACGCCGCACGAGTGCGAGAGAGACAGAACAACGAAGACGACTCTGCCGCTGTCATTCCCCGGGCGACACTCACCAGTTGTTCTCGACGCCGTGGTTGGGGTTGAGGCTCTGGTGCTGCGCGACGGAGTATCCAAAGTACGCGCCCTTGTTGCCCGTCTTGATGATGGGCAGCCGCGTCTCCAGGTTGAAGCCCCCGCAGCCGTGCAGCAGCAGCACGCAGCACGCCAGCGCCGCGGCGCACCGGCGGGCACTCCACATTCTCGGGCCGGCTTCTCACACCACTGTAGAACGCCGCCGAGACTCACTGCACACTGCTGGCGCACTGCACTCGCACTAGACACGACACTGCAGACAGCGTGTCACACAGTGTCACGGTGTCACACCACTCCGGCCAGTCGGCACATCCTGGGTAATCCTCTCGCGACGCTCGGCACGGGTACAGGCCCGCGGGGCTCGGCGCAGACGGCGCGGACGGCGCACAGCGACAACCTTGCCCGGGCACGGTCGGGGCTCGACTGACTGACTATACTATACACTCCACTCACTCACTCCTCGCTGCGGCGCGCCGGCTCCGCGGGACGGGGTGAGGGGGAGGGGGAGGCGGAGGGGGAGCCCCCCGACCGGACCGTCCGGCACCGATCTGACTTCGAAACTGAAACCGACACCGCATTGACACTATCGGCCGGTGCCGGTTCTAGGAACGCACTTTGAATCGGACTACCGTTGGCCTCATAAACCTGTTTGCTACAATGAGCCAGAGCCACCGTCCTGGGAGAGAGACGCGCCCCTGTCTCATGAGCAGGCATGCTCTACTGACCTCTGTCCAGAGTTCACGCCTTTGCGTGGGAGGCATTCAAAGTGGGTTCTAGTTTTCATTTTCTTGAGCGTGTATAATTTATCTTTTATTTCCTCGGGGGAATCAGAAGAAACGACATGATACCTCGATCCGTCTATAACGTTTAACGTAATACACCGGACAAGATATTTAAATCTTGCCGAATCTTGCTTTAGATTAACGTTGGCACCACCATAAATGTTTTAAGGCCAAAAGAAGAAAAAAATTGGTTGGTTGGAAAATGAAAAAAAAAAAAAACCGCGATGAAGTCACCTGAGCTTGATTCTTACTCGCCTTCTTCCTGCCGTCAGTCCAAAATATTTGTTCTTCGATTTCTGCCTAGTTGTCCTAGTTGTACCTAACCGAAGAAAAACAGAACCAGGTAAAATTTAAAAACTCGCGCCATTCTTCGTTCTGAGGCAACCACGAAACTGCCAACCCACCGCCGAAAAAAGATGATGTCTTCCAAACAGTTGTAAATTGAAAAATAGGAATTGTCATCGTTTTATGAACAAACTGTCAGCGTACTTATGTATTTTTCATGTGATATTTTTCAATGATTCGCCCAATTTAGAAGATTTAGTGAATTTCCAGAGGTTGGTAAGAGTCACCGCCCTGCACACTGTTTGCGTAACGTTCTGGCCTTCCGCGTGCGGCTGCGGCCTTAGAACGTGTACAGGGACCTTTTTTGGTTCCCTTAATTGTTTATTATTTTGTAAGGATAATAGTATCTTGTCAAAATGGCGAAGTTTGACCTGACTTTTAAGCTCGGACAGTACTTGGATCGACATTTGGTCTTTCCTCTGTTGGAGTTCCTTTCTGCTAAGCAGGTAAGTTTCTCGCCGGATGCCTTAGTAATTGATACAAATTCTCGGTATTTGGTGCCTTGGTCACTTTATGTGTCTGTAAATAGTCGTGACTATAGGTATAAACCATAATTGGTTCACTGTCTTCCATTTGCGCATGGTTTACATTCATTGTTTGTGCGTTTATTCATTCTCTTAACCTCACTTTTCGAGGTTATGACCATCTGCCATACGTTGGTAAAGCCAATTCTTAACATCCCAGTTGCCTTAAAAAAACCAATTCCGAAGTAAATTTTTCTATGATTTTGCCCCTTTCAGTTTGACATGGTATAATTGGTTAGATGATTAAGGACCGTTGTGTAATGATACTAATATAAGTGTTGCAAAGTTTGTTTGTCAGATTGTGTCATCATCGTAATTACTGTTCCAGATCTACAATGAAAATGAACTCCTCCAAGCTAAGCTGGACATCCTTAGCAAAACCAACATGATTGATTACGCTATTGATATTAGGAAACAGCTTATGCCTGGTGAAGAAGACCCTGATGTAAGTCTCATATTTGAAAATGTGGTCAACTTCCGATGTGTTACTTGTTACGTGTAATTGTTTCCTATTTCAAAACTTAACATTATATTCCTTTTTTCAGGATTTGAAAAACAGAAGAGCGCAGGTTGTTAACCAGCTTCAGGAACTTTCAAAAGAAGTGTCACTCATTGTATCTTTGATGAATGATGAGAAAATCATGAAAAAAATTGAAACCATGCGGGATTCAAAGGCTCTGCTTACTTTCTTGCATGATGAGTATGACGTAAGTTTGCAGTGTGATTTTGTTTCAAATTCTTTTCACTCTCAGATATATGTATATGTGATACATGTTTAATAATATATTTTGTATCATTGCAGTTTAATATTGAGATGATGGAGAGTATGTACAATTTAGCAAAGTACCGGTATGAGTGTGGCAACTATTCAAATGCTACGGGCTTTTTGTACTTTTATATTAACGTTATGCCCTCAAATGACAAAGTGAGTTCATCAAAGCTTTTTTCTCTGAAAAGTGGCTCTGTTTTTATTTTATATTGCTATTGTGACTCTGCAACTAGCTTAGTCCTCTTATCAAATTTTGATGCTATTTTTTCGTGCTTGTCCTTGCAGAACTACCTGAATGTATTGTGGGGAAAGCTGGCTTCTGAAATTCTTGTTCAAAATTGGGATGCTGCTCTGGATGACCTGAACAAACTCAGAGAATTCATTGACACAAATCAGTTCCCTTCATCATTACATGTGCTACAACAGCGAACATGGCTGATTCACTGGTCTTTGTTTGTGTTCTTCAATCATGCTAAGGGGCGGGACCTCATCATTGAGATGTTCCTGTACAGGCCACAGTAAGTCTCCTCGAATTCCCAGAATTATATTAAATTAAATGTGGTCAATTTATAGTTATCTTATAAACCAAAATCTCTTTGCAGCTACCTCAACGCTATCCAGACCATGTGCCCACACATTCTGAGATACTTGGCTACAGCTGTGATCATCAACCGCACACGCCGCACTGCGCTGAAGGACCTCGTGAAAGTTATTCAACAAGTATGTTGTGGGCTTTAGCATTCTTTTCATAGTTTTGTGCTCAATGTCAATTTGCTAATCACTTGCGTCTCCCTTCAACTCTAGGAATCTTACACATACAGAGACCCAATCACAGAGTTCATTGAGCATTTGTATGTCAACTTTGATTTTGATGGAGCTCGGCAGAAACTTCATGAGTGCCAGACAGTCCTGTTCAACGACTTCTTCTTGATTGCTTGCCTTGACGAGTTCGTGGAGAATGCCAGGTTAATGATCTTTGAAACTTTCTGCCGCATTCACCAATGCATCAGTATTGGGTAAGTTATTTATTGAAGATATTTTTTCTCTTGATTCTAGTCTGTTTAATAATATAGCTTTTTCTTACTAATAATTTCTTTCTGTTTCAGAATGCTTGCTGAGAAGCTGAACATGACTCCTGAAGAGGCAGAATGCTGGATTGTCCATTTGATCCGAAATGCCCGTCTTGACGCAAAGATTGATTCCAAATTAGGACATGTTGTGATGGGTACCCAGCCTGTTTCCCCCTACCAACAGTTGGTGGAGAAAATTGATTCACTTTCAGTTAGATCAGAGGCCCTTCAAAGCTTGATTGAAAGGAAACTCAAAGCAAGAGCTCAGGATGTTGGTGGCATTCAGTGGTGAAACTCATTTCCTCAAATGTAAGAAAAATACTGTTCCATGGAGCTTACTCATTTTTTGACTATGTCATCCAGACTTTCCACAAATGACAATCTTGCTTTAAAAATATCGTTAAATGTATTTTTTTAAAATTTTGGTTACAAAACTAATTTTGATTTCCGTTCTCACAGGTTTTGTTTTGTATATCCTGTCTGACCAAACTTCATGTCTACAAAATTCGGTCTTCATTCCTGTTAAACACATGCAAACTTCATGAACTCTGTTGAATATCACTCATTGTAGTATACAAAACTCGGTATTACTGTTAACAACCCAACTGATTACATTGTGTAAGAGAAGTTTTATTATTAAAATAATTGGATTATTGCCTGGTAAAATTACTTTATTTTTAAAAACATTTCCACTCACTTATATTTGATTTTCCAATTATAAAGATGTTCTCTGAGAAATTTGTAGCTTTCACAGTATTGTCCTGAAACAAGATGAAGGGTCTTCTCTTGGATCCATTAGAGGAATTTTCCTGGTCGAATCACCTCAAAACATTTAGATGAAAACTTTCTGAGCTTTATTCGGTTCGCCACCAATCTTGAATGCCTATAGCGCCTGTAACTAGGCCACCCACCCACCGTGCACCTCTGTAGCATGCGAGATAAGTTGCCTACTCTCTCGGCGCTACTCAACAGGTAGCAAGTAACTGAAGGGAACCTCAGGATCACAGACAGGATGGCTGTCAGGGTAAAGACGTCGGTCGGAATTAATTGAACATCATTGTATTGAATTTCCGGGGTTGCCTTTCTTATGGCTACTTTTTCCCTCTTCCCTGTTGTTGCATAGCGCCGGGAAGGTAGACCATCCCTTTGGCACGTCATGGGATTTAACAGCGTTTGAGAGGAAAATGAGGAAAATGTTTTCATGTTTGAGAGTCTAATCCAGTTCTCTTGTCAGGGCAGCCCCTGCCTATGCACTCTGAGCCTCCTTGCCATCTAAGAGTGTCTCGTTGGGACGTAAAGTGAAACTTCTCCCATCGGGAGTTTTGGGCCAAAAATTTGCAGTGACCCAAATTGGAGTCACATACACAAAAATAAGCTTAGTTAATTTATTGTTTTACGGTTTATTTACAATATTTGTGAACACAGTCCATTTTTGACACAGTTGGTACGATACAAAGACATCATTGCACTAGTTTGGGTGATCTGTTTTGAAACTAGTTCACCACCAACACACTCATAGCATACACCCAATGGGGAATATCTATAAGGAAAAAATGAGAATATGTGGCGTACCAAGGTGACCAGGTCTTTGTACAGTAAATTTGCTCTGAAATAAAATTCCACTTCTTCGAGTACACTACAAACAACTAACACACGTTATTTGCCAGGAGGCAGATACTTTAACAATAACTAATATCACTTTTATATCATGTTGTTTCATTAACACATGCATGTAGCACGTAGACAATGCAAAAACTATTTTGGCAACTGAAACCAGACATTGCGCCACTTGAGAGAGTAAAAAAGTAAACAAATCACGTTTGTTAAATAAATGTATCGGAGGTCTCATTCAAATGGTACACCTTATCGAAACCCAGAAGAACATAGAGCCTACAAAACAAAATGATTCCCACATTATTCCAGGGGGTATTTCTTAATCTTTTTTTTACCAAAGGCAAGTTTTTTTTCTTTCCTTTTTCAGGAATACAATACAGTCTATCCGGTAATCACAATCATCTGAAATATGGTACAGTCTTCTGACACAGATGAAAATCTTTGCAGGACATATACATGAGGGGAATGCGTAACTAACTGAAACAAATAGCACCCTCAAAAGTTTGAACTTTCCTACAGGCTTTGGAAAGATCTGCATGCTGTTTTTGTTTGCTTTTCTTTAAAGACTAATGATTTGAAAGCCGTCAACTATCTAGCTCATTGCGTAGATCACAGCGCGGGACTGATTGTAATAATTTCACATTAAAAAGAAAGTTTCAATCCGGACGCCATGTAAGAGGAATGCACGGTTTTGACATGACACCACCCCCGGTCTGAACCAATCCTGTGGCAAAGAGCCCGTGTTTGGTATTTCCTCTTTGCAATCCCAATCAGATTCTCTGGCGCAGAAGTGGTTCGAACCGCGAAGTGCTTCCTTGGCCCGAGGCCTAGTGCTCCTTCTTGGTCTTCTGCCCCTTGAGGAGGACCTTCTTGAGCTGCTGCTTGCCACGCGCCACGTCCCTCGCTCTTCTCCTCAGGGTCGACGGCTGGCTCCTCTGGTCCTCCCTTCAAAGTAGAAACATCCATTCAAAAATGAGTATAAACATTGATTCTGGTAGGCTACACCTCCAGGAGTGAAAACACTGACTATACGCCACACCCGACAGTCGATCGAGCGTGGTGTATCGCCGCGACCCAAAGAACACGAAATGCTCACCAGCTTTCCAGTCATAAATTCAACCAATAAAAAGTCATTTAGACAGTCATATTGTCGTCGTTTTGACTTCGTTGACTGCATCATGAGTGTTTCGTGCTCTTTGTGGACGACTGCTCTAAGTGGATCTACTCACGGTGTGTCCGCGTGCGCCTTGGCCGCCCTCACGCCGCGCTGGCTGCGTTCGCTGCGCGCGCTGCGCTGCTCCCGCATGTGGTGGAGGTGCTCCGCCGCGGCCTCCATGCGCTTGGTGACGCCGCCGATGTACCTGGAGACGGCCTCGGACGTGCCACGCAGCAGGTTCATGCCGACGCGCAGCTTGAACTCGGCCACCCGCCTCAGCATGTTCATGAGCGTGCTCAGGGCGTCGTCGGCCGGGGACGTGCTGTTGGTGATCTCGATGACGTTGGGCACGGCTGTCGTGGTGGTGCTGACTACGCTGGAGTCCTTGAGGACCTCGTTGTTGGCCACGCTGAAGACGTCGTTGGCCGTGACGACCAAGTTGAGCAGGGGGTCGTTGCTGGCGATGGTGGTCACTGCGTCCGTGGTGACGTCCTGCTTGCTGACCTCGGTGGTGGTGATGGGTTCCGACGTGGTGGTGGCAGACTCGTCCTCGGGGACGGTGGTGGACGAGGGCGTCTCGGTCTTCTTGTCGGCGACGTCCTTGACGGGCACGGGTCCGTCGATCTCGTTGTCCAGGTCCTCGTCGAGGTCGGCGCTGCGGCGCCGGCGGCTGTTCTTGGCGGGGGCCTTGGCGGCGTCCTTGTCGTGCTTTAGGGCGCGGGGCTGCGCGCCGTTGGCGGTGGCGTAGCGCCCGTCCAGGTCGAGGCCTGCGCCGTACGTCAAGTCAACGCCCGAGCCCTGGTCCAGCTTGACGGAGTCCTGTTCCTGGTCAGAGCCCGCCTGGGAGCCATAGGCCAGCGCGACCTGTCCGGAACCACCGCTCAGCCTCACCGAATACCTGCAAGGTGCGTCGTCAAATTAAATTCGATCGGAAACAGGAAAAGAATTTACGCTCCCATGACTGGAGCGCCTGCCAACTGCGGGGTAGGCACCCCGCCACGCACGCCTGCACGCATGGTGCCTACTCGCCGTTCGCAGGCTGAGGCGCTGGCGCTACTCCCCGCTACGCCGGGGGAGGACCGCTGTCACGGAGTATCGCCACTCGTCCTGGCCTTACCTGTTGCCGGGCTTGGCGTCGGTGTGCTCGGCCGCGGTGAAGGCCTGCTGCTCCTTGTCAGTGTCGCTGCCGCCGGTGCTGCCGTACGTGAGGTCGACGTGGGAGGTCCTGTCCGCGTCGCTGCTCGCGTGGTACCGCGTGTTCTGGCTGCCCTGCGCGCTCGGCTGGGCCTCGGGGGCGCCGCCCACCACGTAGGGGGACTCCTCGGCCTTCTTGAGAGCGAACGCAACAAAAACAACAACAACATGAGTGACTGCCTCGGGGGCCTTGCTGCCGACGCAGAAAGCCGTCGATGGTCCCCACCTTCTTGGCCGCGGACGCGGGGCCGGTCTCGCCGACGGCGGCGTAGGTCAGGTCGACCTGGTCGGCGTCCACGTGGTCCACGTCGTAGCGCGTCCTCTGCAGCGCGTCTAGGGTGCCCAGTGGCTCGAACTTGGTCTCCACCTGCACGTTGCCGGGCACGCCGCTCTGTGGCGGCGAGGGATCCGCGTAGCCGGTCACCTGGCCCTGGCCGTTGACGGACACGGAGCTGTAGCCGGTGCCCTGGCGGAGGTCGGACGTCGTGCTGCTGCCGTCCGCGGGCCTGGAGTACGCGCTGGCGCCCTTGCCGTTCGCGTCGTATCTGCCGAGCGGAGGGTTCGGGGTTTTATCGCCATTTCCAGACTGCTAGCAAACGGTCTTGCTGCAGACTGATTCTGTGAGTCTCTTTTGTCGCTCTGCCTCTCTCGCACTCATGTGAAGGTGCGAGAGAGAGACATAGAGCGGGGGAAATGACTCCCGGAATGAGTCTGCAGGTGGGCGTGTCGCGAGACCCTCACCTGCTGTACGAGTCCGGGTACTGCGCGTCGGGCGGGCCGGAGTCGCCGCCGCCGTAGATGGAGGGCGAGGCGGCGTACCGAGTGTCGTGGGGCTGCTGGGACTGCTGGCCCGGCCGGTCGCCCTGCCGGTCCTGCTGCATGCCGGAGAACACCTGGCCCAGCACCTCCTCCTCGGGCTTGCCCACCGTGCCGTCGGCGGCCTGCAGGCCCTGCTGGTCGGCGTAGCTCTCATAGTAGTACATGTGCTCGCCGCCGGGGCCGGGATGGCGCTGCTGCGGAGCCGTGTCGTATGTCCTGGAAGAGAACACCGTGGGAAATGAGTATCGCCCTGCATTAAACGGCATCTGGACAAAAATAGTCATCAGAAGAACACTGGCAAAACTAGAGCGTAGTATTACCCTATGTTTAGAGCATAATCAGATTACGCTTGAAATCAAACATAAAACAGGCTATCCGCTCAGATTCCATCTATCTAAATGCATGTGAGAATTTCTTTTCCTTGCTCCAATTCAAACGTAACTGTATGCTTGACTCAAACATACGGTCGCATTCTAGTTTTCCCAGTGAAGTTGAAGCTGCCTACCTGCGCGCCGCGATGCCGCCGCCGAACGGGTAGAGGAAGAGGCCCGCGATGCCGGCCGTCACGACCAGGCCGATGATGCCCACGCTCACGGACGGCATCACCTCGCGCGCCAGGTAGTTGTAGATCTTGGTGGAGATGCCGTTCTGGCCGACGCCCGCGCCGCCCGCGCCGCCCGCGCCGATGACCGGGCCCACCGCCTTGGTGGCGTTGGCCTCGTGGCCGATCTTGCTCTCCGCGGTGGCCGCGGACGCCGCCGTCTTCTTGGTGGGGCGCCGCCTCCTGTTCTTGTTCTTGTTCTTCTTCCTCTTCTTCTTGGACGCGCTGCTGCCGGCGCGCTTGGGCTTCTTGGTGGTGACGGGCGGCAGGGTGGTGGTGGCGGCGATGTCGGCGTCCGTGGTGGCCACGTCGGCCGTGGTGGGCGGCAGCGTGGTGAGCTCCTCGGCGGGGGCGGGCGTGGTGGTGGTCGTGGTGGTCGTGGTGGGCGCCGCGGTCTTGAGGGCGGCGGGCTTGGGCAGGGCCTGGGCCTGGCCGTGGATGGGCTTGCGCCGGAACGTGATGGCCGTGTTGAAGGGCACGCTGGCGGACGACACCTTGGTCTTGTCCTGCCCCTGCTGCGCCTGCTGTGCCTGGATGGGCCGCTTGGCCGACTGCTTGGACTCGGTGTGCACGGCGGGGACGACGGCCTGCGCGGGCCGGCCCGGCTTCTGCTTGTTCTCGGCGGGCTTGTCCTTGAGGGCGGCCGCGGCGGCGCCCGACGTGCTGACGATGGCTTCGGAGATCTTGACGAACTCGGCGTTCTGCTGTGGGGCGACGGTGGTGCGCGGTGCGGGCTTGGGGGTCGTGGTGCTGGGCGCGGGGGCGGGCGTCGTCGTGGTGGGGGCGGCGGCCGTGGGGGCGGGCTTCCTCGACGGCAAGCGCTGCGCACCGGCGGGCTTGCGGACGGCCGGGGGCTGGCGCGCGGGCTGGGGCTTGGGGGCGGGCACCTTGGCGGCGGGCGCGGGGGCGGGCTGGTCCTCCTTGGCGGGCTGCGCCTCCTTGACGGGCTGCGGGGGGCGCTTCTTGAGGCTGGACGGCGTGGTGGCGGTGCTGTGCGTGCCGCTCAACAGGATCCACGTCGAGATGCGGTCCGACGCCGTGGTGCTGGGCTGCGGCTCGGCCGTCGTCATGGGCGCGCTCGCGTTCACGGCCTTCTTCAGCTCGGCCAGCTGCTGCTGCTGCAGCGCCAGCGCGGCGTGCTGCGGCGGCTGCTGCGCGATGCGCATCGGCATGTGCTGCGGCAGGGCCTGCGGCAGGTGCTCGTCCGGGATGACCACGGGCTCCGCCACGCCCTGGAAACCGCTGTGGTCGTCGTCGATGTGGTCGCCCTGCGTGGACACGGTGGCCGACACCATGACGGGCTTGGGCAGCTCCGGCTTGCGCAGGTCCTGCATCTGAAAGGAGCAAGGGTGCGAAATAAGTGATACGATTTCTATTCCAACGGCGATTCAAGACTCTGTGCAAGGTGCTCTCTCGCGTTGTGAGGAAAAACAATGAACATACAATTTTCATAACTTTTAAGGCAGGCAACACAGTTATTTTTCACAACTGCCCCATGCGAGTGAAATCTGAATGGTTTTACTTTTGCTACGACTTTTACAATTGAGATTGAGAGTGACATTGAAGTTTTAAAATCAAAATTGAGACTTGAAATCGATCAATTGATCTTGAAATTGAAAGCACAGTCGTTTTCCCCTTGCCTATGTACACGACGACGCGCCATCGCGCTCGCGGCCGTGGTGCGGGTGCTCACTTTTGCTGGGGGGCTTGCCTTGACGATGGGCGGCGTGCGGACGTCCTGCACGTCCTGGACGACGGGCTTGGCGTGGCCCTGGGCGTGGCCGTGGGGGTGGGGGGCGTCCTCCGCCGTGGCACCCATCAGCTGGCTGGCGACCTCCTTCAGGGACTCGCCGATCGGGGAGGCGCCCGTGGGGGCGGTCGGTGCGGACGGCGCGGACGGCGAGGAGGGCGCCGACGGCGAGGAGATGGCGGAGGGCGCGGTGACGGGCTCGGCCACCAGCGCCGCCGCGGACGGCAGGGGCTCCGCGGCGGCCTGGGGCTGGGCCTGCTCCGGCTGTTGGGGCTGCTGCGGCTGCAGGGGCTGCGCCTCGGACTGCTGGTCCCTGGGCAAACCGAGCGAAGCGTTAGGCCGAGCCTTCGATGGTGTGGTGGCGTCCTGGCCATTACGTGGGCATGGATGATATCGATTCCAAAAACTAAACAGCGGGCTGAGTGAGTACACACTTTGAGTACCAAACCCTTACTGAGTATACTCTTTCAGTTCGAAATTGTGTACTGAGGACACACTTTGGGCACTAAAATGTGTACTGGGTGAGTAAGTACCCACTAGTTCACAGTTCATAAAGCGCAAGTGTCTCTGTCTCGGATGAATTTAAAAGTTTAAACACTTTACTGCTATTTGGCTCAATTAGACCACGTATTGGTTCGGACGCTTTAAAAAGAGGTCAAGGTGCAGATAAACTTTGTGCGATGATCAGTTTGTGCGAGTGGATATATATATAAGAATAACATCATTAGGATTGTCGTTAGAGAGGGGTTGTTCCGAGGACTCGAAAACAAGTACTCACCGGGTCATCGTTCTCGCATTTGGTCAGTTCAAATTTTAGGTAAAGGGACATTTCACAAGATACCAATTGAATGGGTCAGGGTTATTTATTGGTTAAGTTTCAAAAGAGTACACAAATGTCCCAAACTACGTTTAATTAAATCAGGAACTAAACTACAAGTACGTGAAGTATTCTGGTTGGACTATGGTCAAAAAGCAAGAAAATAGATGAGAACATACTAAAAGGGTAGGTACATAACATAAATAATTAAACAAATAAATAAACACAAATAATTGCTCTACAAATATGTAACATAATTGTGTTGGAAACTAAATAAATAAAATGTGTGCACAGGGTTAGGAACAGCATAAATATGGTTGTCTTTCAGTATGGTCACCACGTTTCTACAACTAAACACTTACACTAGCTTGGTCATAATAATCTAGAATCGGGGCATCCTCATTCAAAGAGCCACGAGGGTGTGTTTTTCCATGTGTCTGCAATTTACGAAGGCTGCTGGCTTTTGCGTGTTAGGTTGGTTAGTCATTCGTGGGTCCGTCCTTCTTGTCGGATTTTTTTTTCTCTACAGGAAAGCGAGGGAAAATGGGAAAATGTTAGTCTGAATGTGTCCCAGTGGACTCCTTGGGGATCCCCCTCACGCCCCTATCCCTAATGGCACCGAGGTAACCGAGTGGCTGGCTGGCTGGGAGGTGCCCGTTGTCCGGGCACGCGGCAAGGCGCGCGGCGTGGCGTGCGGGGCTGGCTGCGTGCGGCGTGCGCGCTACCAGCCCCCACCGCCGCTGCCGCCGCCGCCAAGCCACCCGGGCGGCACTCCCTCGTCCCACCAGACCGTGTCCGGCGGCACAGTGCGTCGGTGGCGCCGGCGCCAAGTGGCCCAGCAGCGGGACGCGCGCCGGGCGTCCAGGGCGCGGCGCTGCTGGGCGTCGGCGTGGTACGCGCCGCGGTACGGTCCGCGGTACCGCGACGCCGCGGCCAGGTCGCGCATGCGCCGGTTCTCGTCCGAGCGGCGGGACAGGATGTAGGGCACCAGCCAGGGCGTGAGCAGCGACCCCACGGCCATGAGGACAATGACGGGCGCCAGCAGCACGCCGGACCAGAAGCTGACGCCGAAGCGCGTGGCGCTGCCGTTGAAGAGGCTGCCCCACCAGCCCACGTTGTTGCTGGGCGTCGCGGCGGGGGCCACGGACGTCGCGCTGCCCGCGCCCGCCACCGGGACCACGGGCACGGCCGGCACCACGGCGTCGGACTGCACGGGGGGCGCCGGCGGCGGCACGGGCGGCTTGGGCTTCGGCCTCGGCCTCGTGAAGATGATCTGCGTCGGCGTCGGCGTGGTGGGGCTCATGACGGCGGGCGGTGCGGGGGCCGTCGGCGCCGGGCCCAGGATGATGGGGTCGTTGTTGTGCGCGGGGAGCGTGTTGGTGTTGGCCGCCGACGACTGGATCACGATGTTGAGCTCGGAGCAGCCCTGCATGGCCTCCTTGTTGGCCACGGCGTTGTGGTTCTCGGCCAGGCTGGACGCCGTGATGACGATGTTGGGGCACTTGACGGCCACGTCCGGCTTGCCCGTGGCCTGCGGCGACGGCCGGTAGCTGGACGACGGCGGCCGCAGCGTGCTGAGCTGGTACTCGGGCACCTTGTCCTCGATGATGATGATTTGCGGGGGCTTCGGCGGCGCGGTCGGTGGCTTCGGGTACCAGGACGGGTCGTTGTAGTTGTTGATGACGGTGCCGGCGGGGTGGCCGTGGCCGTGGCCGGGCTTGGGCGTGCCCACGCCCCACGAGCTGTGGTGCATGGTGACGGGCCGCTTGATGACGGACACGACGCCCTGCGATGGCTGCTCGTGGAAGTGCTGCTGGTGGCCGCTGCCCGTCGGGCTGATGGTGGCGCTGAACGTGAAGTGCGTCGGCACCTTGCCGGGCACTGGCGTCGTCGTCGGCGGCCTGGCCTGCGGTCGCGGCGGCCGCGGCGACGGTCGCGGCGGCGGCAGCGTCGGAGGGCGTTGCGTCGGCGGCCGCGGCGACGACGCCGACGCGTAGTGCTCCGACGGCCTGAAGGTGCTGGGGTAGTGGTAGTGCGTCTTGGGCGCGGGGGACGTACTCTCCTCCGCCGGGGAGGTCGCCGGCGTCGCGGTGTGGTTCGCCAGGAACTGGACGAACGCGGTGGGGGACACCTTGAGGGGCTTGGTGCTTTTCGGCGGGTCGGCAGGCTTGGCCGGCTTGCTTGGCACGGCCAGCGAGACGGGCAGCCACTCTTCCTCCTCTTGTTGTTGCTGCGGCTGTTGTTGTTGTTGCTGCTGTTGTTGCTGCTGAGGACGCATCGACAATCGGCGGCCGTCCCCGGCGGGGTCCTCGAGGATGGTCATGTCGTCCAGCTGGAACGTCTTGTCGCTGGGCCCGGGCGTGGGGGCGAGCGCCGGCACGGACACGCGGCTGGCGGGGCTCTGCTCCAGCAGCGTGGCGGAGATGTCCCTGATGGAGGACAGCACCTGCTCGTCGACGCTGCGCTCCGCGGGCGCCGTCAGCTCGCGGGCCGAGGCCAGCAGGTCGACGATGGGCGCCTTTTCAGCGGGCTTCTTGGCGCTCACCGCCAACAAGACCCAGCCGTCGTCGGCGTCCGTCGTCGAGTTCGCGGCCACGGAAATCGGGGAAGGGGCGGTGGGGGCTGAGGGGGCTGTGGGGGCTGAGGGGGCGGTGGGGCCGGTGGGCGCGGGGGAGGAAAGGGGGGTCGCTGCGGCGCGGCCGTCGTGTACGTCCCTAGCCTCCAGCAGCCTCCGTGTGGTGTGTGCGGTGGCCCCCGAGGGGGTGGCGGGGGCCCCCGAGGGGGTGGGAGGGTACCTGCTAGTCCTGCCGGAGTACGCGGAGTGGCGCGCGGCGGGCCGGCTCTCGGAGACCATGAGGGGCTTCCAGGCGTAGGGCGACTGAGACAGGGCGACCTCGTCGGACAAGCCCTCCGGACCGGACGACAGCCGACGCACAGACTCGTCGCGCCACTCGCTCGTCAGCGGGGCCATGGAGTTGGCTGCGGCGCCTGCAAAGACAACAAGGGCGACACGGTGGTTAGAACCTAATCGCAGATCTGCAGTCTGGTGTAAAATGGCCGCGCCGTTTTTCCCGGGTCGCCGCCACCGTGGCTCGAACCGCGAACCACGCGCGCGCGGGCGCGCGTCAACACCGTCATCGCCCCCACGCCGCGCTGCTTGCCCTTGCAGTGGAGGTGCTGCAAAGGGCAGCGCCGTTCCGCGCCGCTGACTCGCGGGTCCAGCAGCTTCAGTTCAAACGGTGCTTCGTCGCTCTGTCTCTCTCGCACAGCCGCAGGGTGCCGCACGAGTGCGAGAGAGACAGAGCGACGAAGGCGCCGCTCCGAATGAGCGGGCAGGGTCGAGGCCGCGGGGTGCCGTCCCGCCGTCCGGGTGACACTGCCACGCTGCCCGCGCCTCAAACACGATCGCCTCCTTGGCAAACCATCCAGAACGCGGCGCCTCCCGCCGGGAAAGGCGGAGACAATCACGCCGGAAACGTTTAGCTCGTTTGGCTCGTTTGGCTCGTTTGCCTGCTTGAGGATTTGACGCGACAAATGCCTCCACTTTCACTCCCCTTCCACTTTCTGTTATTTGCCTGTTTGTTTGCATCGTTACTCGGCTGGCAGCCCCCGGGATAAAGAGTCACCTAAGGACGGCGATATCTCGTTTTGCAGTGCAGGCGGGCATGTGACGGGCCCGAAATGGCCTACGATCATATGTGGTCTAGCCCGTAATGGTAATGGGCTGTAGGCAACACCAACACACGAATGTCGTGCGTGCGCAGTGGTTGCCTACCGCGCAGGCGCTAGGCTGCCTCCGTTGCCTCCCGCACTGTAGGCCACAACAATTCCAGCACCGATGGAAGAAAATTTCAGCAAAGCCCCTACGCTCATTGCAATGGGCGATAACAATGTCATCAACATGTCATTCGTATAAGGAAAATTAGCCTCGAAAGCCTCGTCATGAAGTGACAACTGTAATTTTCACCGAGAAGGGTTGCTGGTTGCTGGCCTGGCTTGTAGAAGGCCTGACCACTCCCAGCCACTCTTCTCGTCGACTCACCCGAGAGCTGTGCGTTGTGGAGAAGGTGCGGTCCGGATGCTGTGCGCTGCGGACGCGCCTGCACTGCAAGGAGCGTGCAGCACAGGGCGGCCAGCAGCGACAGCAGTCTCATGGTCGCCTCGCTGCGCCTCTGCAACAAACCAAACAATCCCGCATTGATGTTTATGTTTTCATTCCTCTCCTTCCCTGTGCCGGGCGGGCGGGCGTTCGTGTGCCGTCCCCTCGGCGCGGCGCGTGCCGAGTGGACACGCGCGTTAATGCCAGCCTGGTGCCGAGAGTCGTCGCTCTGTCTCTCTCGCACCTGTGCGGGACGCCCCGAGAGAGACAGGGCGACGAAAACGACTCTCGGAATCGGTCTTCTGGCGGGTCGGCCGGCCGGGCGGCCTGGCCCTGCGAGTAAAAGAACCGCTCGGGCGCCGTAAAGGTAAAGGCAGAACCGGCGAGGGCGATCTGCATGCACGGCAACGGCACGGCGCACGGCACACTGCAAGGCACGGCACTGCCAGGCACGGCACTGCCAGGCACGGGGCGGCCGTTACTTCCCTTCATGGAATCGTTCGACTGATGTGTGTGTGTGTGTGTGTGTGTGATAGTGAGTGTGTGCGTGTGTGTGTGTTAGTGAGTGTGTGTACGCGTGCCACGCTGTGCTAACCACACGCGCGCACGCGCACGCTCCATCGACTGCACTGACCACGCTCATCACTGGGCCTGCGTGGCGGTGCTTCCGACACCAATACGGGCGCAGCATGCTGCCAGCAGGCGCACTGGATGTGGTCAGGCACGATGTGGGCGTTTTTGTCGCAATTTTCATCGCCGGCACATCAAACAAATGGGGATTGTGCGGTGCACGGCGTGCGTGTGCGTGTCGGTCGAGCGGCTCCACCAGCCGGCCGCAGTCCTCACTCCGTCTCGCTCACACTCCTATGGCACACTGCCTCAGTGCGAGAGAGGCAGAGCGACGACGACGCCTGTTGGAATCAGTCTACTGTCCCTCCGCCTTGTGGGCCAGAAGACTGGCGGAGGTGGTCAAAATCCAAAACGGGTTTTGAGTTCCAAAGTCACGAAATGAGACTCGAACCGAACGTGTGACCCCACCAATGGATCGCTCTCCGGACGAGGAATCCATTGGTGGGGTCACACGTTCGGTTCGAGTCCCATTTAGCGACCCTAGAGCTCAAAACGCGTACGGGATTTCGACCGCCTTCACCGGTCTTCTGGCCCACTGTGCTCTGCGCGGCGGTGGTCCCAACCGCCAGACGGCGCTGCGATCGACTTAAGGGAATGCCCGCCGCCAATTACACGCCGCGCTCCCGCTTGGGAAAATGAGGCCCCGCCGGCCCCGCCGGCCCCGCCAGTGCGGCAGCGTGGGCGGCCAGGGCAGCAGATGCTCCACCGGGGCCCACTTCTCCACCTTCTTCTTCTTCATCTTCTTTTTTCCCCGCTGTGACCGGGTCACCGCCGCGGGGAGTCGAACCAGGTCGCGCGGCGTGCTTCTGCCGAGACAACAGCTGCCACGCGGGGGTCACGTACGTGTCCACGACGACGACGAGGAGGAAGAGGAGGAGGAGAGTGCCATCTATTTTCGCCGCAGCGCGGATCGGCGTAACAGTGCGCCGGCCGCGGGGTCCTCGACGGCCAGGACCGTGACGGTGACGAGGCGGACGGGGCGCGCCTCACTTGTTGACACTTGTGGCCGCCACCCTCCGCCCCGCCCCGGCATTCCTAACGGGGCGGCGGGGCGGGGCGGGGCGGGGCGGGGCGGGGCGGGGCGCGGCACGGGCCGCCCAGCCATGCATCCTGCGAGCCGCACACCGTGAAACCCCCGACAAAACGCACACGACGGTGGCCGTCAGCGCGGCGCGGCCAAACCAGTTGCCCGGCAGCGCCGAGTGCTATCAGTGGCGGCAGAGACGACCTGGCGATACCCCGCGCCCGAGCGACGCTCTGCGTGCCGCCGAGCGGGCTGCTCTTGCACGCGGAGTATCGACAGCGTCGGTCAAGACGCCACACTGTTTGCTTGTCCGCACACGGACGTCCGTAACTCCCGCTAGTGATTCCGCACGGTGACGCCGTCGCTCTGTCTCTGTCGCACTCGCGCGGCGCCCTATGCCCCGTGGGAGTGCGAGAGAGACAGCCGCGCCACATTCCTGGCCGTGACGAGACGCGCGTCGTATGGCGCGTACCGCGGTGCGTACAAGGACCGGACGGACAGGCCGCGGCGGACAGCGCGGGCATCATTCGGTCACCAGTTGCGTCAATTACTATAACGGGCAGACGCAGCCTCCAGCAGCTCCGGGCTGGAGGCTCCAGCATGCAGCAGGTTCTCCAGACCACAGAGGGACAGCGGTCCGGCATCAACGGTTCTCCCGGAGGGCCATGAAGGCCATGCAGGGCTAGAAGCTTGATATATGCCGCGCGGGCCGCGGGCCGCGGGACGGGGCAGCTTCTGGGTTTCGATTCGTCTCGCGGCGCGCGGACCGGGACGGTCGGAGGATTCCGAAAGCATTCCAAGCGAGGCGGAATCCGGCTGCCGCGCCTAAGCGGCTCCCTGCATTGCTGTCGTCGCTCTGTCTCTCTCTCCCAGCCGCGGCGCCTCGCGAGTGCGAGAGAGACAGAGCGACGACAGCAGAGTCCGGCGCGGACCCGCGAGGCTGGCGGCGGCGCGTCGTGGGCGCGAGGACGCGGAACAGAATGCTTTCCCTGGGGCTTCCCTGCGTCCGCGTCACCGCGTCACTGCGTCGCCGTCGCGGTCCTCAAGTAACTGTGTCCGTCGTCCGGCGGCTCATGCTGTAGGGAGGTCAGCGGGGCGCTGGACGCTGGCCGCACACGCAGGCAGGCAGGCAGGGCTAAGCGACGTGACCCACTGAGCCTGGCGTGCCTGCCTTGCCTGCCGTGCGGGGCGGCCCGAGATAACCCAGTGGCGGCGCAGAAAAGGACGGCGACCGCGGCGCCGAGAAAATCGGTGTGTTGATTCATTCCGGCCGCCGCCGCAGCATGGCCGACACTGCACCGCCGCGCTTCACTCTGTCTCTGTCGCACTCAGGGGTAGCACCGGAGGGGTGCGAGAGAGACAGAGCGACGCAGCGCTGTTCGAAACGAAACTGCAGCGACGCGGCGTGGCAGCCTACATCTCGGCGACATCGTCTTCGGCAGCCCACTTCGCCGACTCCGTCGCCGTCCTGGCGCCTTTCGCTGCAGAGCAACGAAACCGAAAGGGGATCCCGGGCGGCGCTGCGGCGCACCGAAGGCACGACGGCCACGTCGTCAGCCACCGCGCAGAGGACTGACTCCGAGAGTCGTTTTCGTCGCGTCGTCCCTCTCATACCTACATGAGACGCCCCATGAGTGCGAGAGAGACAGAGATGAGCCTCCGAATCGGTCTGCAGTGGCGCGCCGCTGCAACCCCGACCGCATCCATTTCCCCATCGCGGAGGGCGTGGCCGCGGAGGGCGTGTCGCGGCGGGCAAACTAGTGCGTGGCCGGGATGTGGGCGGGGCACTGGAGGGGCGCGCGGCGGCGACGCGGACTTTCACGACGGCGGTCATGACGGTCGCCACGATGATGATGCCACCGATCATACGTGTGCCCCGCGGTGCCCCAATGTGAAGCAGAGCGCGCGAGCCCACGCCGGAGGGGGGGATGAAGTGGAGGAAGAGGAGGTGGAGGAGGAAGAAGGGGGAGGATAGGAAGGAAGGGAGGAGGAGGAAGAAGAAGGAGGAAGGAGAGGGGGGAGGGGGACCATTAGCTCTATCGAAAAATGATGCTCGTCGTCGCGGCGCCGCACGGCGCCATCAGCGCCATCTCGTCGTCCATCAACAAGGCCCTGCCTGCGCCCTAGCTGCCCGGCCTGCCGACCGGACGGACGCCGGCACTGCTAGTCGTTGTCTTGTAATAATTATTGGGTGCGCCGACGGCCGAATCCCCGGCAGGACGAGACGAGCTAGGCTTCGGCGAGGCTTTGGCCGCTTTGGCACAGCCGCGATGTTTATCTGGCGAGGTTTTTTCCTCTTTCCCCGCCGTTCCGGACAGGAGGCTGCCGGGGACGCCCGAGCAGACGAACGGTACCGCGCTGCTGGACGGGCCGAGGCCACTCCGACTAGCGCACGCTCTTGATGGAGTTGACCAGCCGCGGCCGCGCGCCGCCAAGCTGTCTTTGGACTGCACTTTGGACCCCAGTCTGACGCCAGGCTGCAGCGGCCGTAGCGAGGACTATGTACCGCTTTGGCCAGCAGTCAGACACAGACAGACAGACAGATTGGGCACTCTCAAAACTATTTTAGAGACATTAAAAGTAGCTTGACATATAAAACTATTCGAAGTACAAATGAGAAAACAAAACACTTCGTAATCTAGGCATTGCTTCCACGTGTAGAGAACTAAAGAGTTTCTAAGTACTTGGTAAGCGTGAACAGAGCAAGTTGGCGGTTCCTCCAAACCGTGGGTGTTTCCACGAGTCGGGTTGGAGGTTCGAGCGCGCCAAGGCAGCCAAAGCCAAGGCCGCATCCTTCGCCACGCCGCGCGTCCAGCCCGTCCAGCCCTGCCGAGCCCTGCCCTGCCTGCCCTGCCTGCCCTGCCCGACCAGTTCCACTGGGAGTCCTGTTACGTTGATTATCGATGCTCTTCGCACACCAGCCTCAACCCTCGGCTCCGTGTCAGTGTGTGAGTGTGAGCGCGCAGGTTAATGCGCGCGTGTGTGTGTGTACGAGTGTGTGCGCGTCGAGGATGCACTTCCGTGCTGCCATGATTGCCCAATAGGGCACCGCGCGCCAAAGGGGTGACGAAGGGTCGCAGCAAAAGGCAGACGCGACGGGTATCCGAACCCGGGACCCCAGATTAAGAGAGTCGTTTTTGTCGCTGTGTCTCTCTCGCACCCACGGGGCGTCCCGTATAGGTGCGAGAGAGACAGAGCGGCGAAAACGACTCTCAGTCTGCAGTCCGGCGACAGACGGTGGCCACGCGCTACACGGCGGCGCGGTGTCCGCGGCGTTCGGCCGAGGTAACGGGCATCTCGTCGAGCAACGGGGCCGCGCGTTTTTGCAGTGCCTCATCGGCAGGGCGTGGAGCGTTTATGGGGATGATATTGACAGTGACTGACGCCGCGGCTGCCAGCTCGGGCGCGCCGGCTGTGTGGGGGTTGACGACCGCGGCTGCCTGCCCGCCAGCTCGGGCGGGGCGGCGGCGGCGCCGCGGCCGTCCGCTATGCCGGGTCGACGGTCGACGCCGTGCCCTTCCTCGGCGTGCCTCACCTCGGCGCGGCAGTCAAAGTCAAGGACACCCCGCCGCCCCACAGCCGGGCTCCACGGCCAGGGCCACGGCCAGGGCCACGGCCAGGGCCACGGCCAGGGCCAAGGTGAGGCCGGCTGGGAGGGGCCCATTCCCAGTGCCAGCCGCGCCGGCAGCACGGTTCCGGAAAGTGCTCCCGCCGCTCCGTCTCCCTCGCACTCACAGCGCGCTGCGCGAGAGAGACAGAGCGACGACACACTGTTCAGAATCAACCTGCCGGCCTGGTGGCGCGTCATTATGAAACGATCCGACTAGTTTTGAACGAAACAAGCAGAAGGCGGGGCCGCGGTCCTACCGCGCGGCACGGCCCCACCGCCCCCTCCTCCCCACTTTAATTTTCCTTTTTCTTTTCCGAAAACCACTAATTTGTGAGTCCTTTCCGTTATCTCGGCGCGGCGGCTCGCTCCCACAGTGTGGTGCCATCCTGTGCCCATTGTGCCATTGTGCCGCCGTGCCGCGCCATGCGAGCAGCGCGGGGCCTTTTTTCCCGCTTGCCTGAAAAGAAGCCGCAAATTTGTGTGCGGCGGTATTTGCCACCCGGCAGGACTTTTTCCTCTCCCGGATAACAAGAGTCACGCATGCGCGTGTGCGTGCGTGGAGGGGAGGCTATGAATACACCTGAACCGTTGCACGCGCTCCGCGGCACGGCGCGCCACGGCGCGACATCGTGTGATACAAATATGAGGAGGAGCAGCGAAGGAGGGGAGGGGGAAGGCAGGCCAGAAGTGGGTCAGCAGGGCCTTCAACTTGGACGTGAGGCGCTGCGCGGCAGGGAGCGGCGGCGGGGCGCGGCGGGGCCCAGGTGTGGTGAGGTTGGTCGCACTCATCGCTCGGCTCGGCTCGGCGATACCTCGGCCCCGGCTCGGCTCGACTGCCTGGCCGACTCGGCTCGCACCGGCCTGGCGGTACCGGCATCATCTCGCTCCGCGGGAGGGCGGTGGGCGCGACGCGGCGGGACGCGTGCGCCGATAGTGCGTGGCCAATGTTTTCATTTCGGGTTACACCGATAAAACGCACCGCGCGCGAAGCGCCCCGCGGGTTCAAACGCCACAAGCATTTTATTGTTGTTGTTCTTTCTCCCTTGCGCGGCCAGGCCGTGGCCACGCCTGGCATGGATCAGCACTAAAGCTGTCGATTTACGAGCGGGGCGGCATTAATGACTGCGTCCCGTTCCACGTCACCCAGTGTAGTGGGTTAGCGAGCCAGTGCGACTCCCGGCCGCCGCACTGCCGCAGGCGCTGCCCAGGGCGCACCGCTGCACCGTGAATGCGCCGTCGAAAAAATAAAACAAATCAGGATTTGAACCCACAGCATTTTGTGCCGGGTTCACTCTGCCTTATCCCGGGAGGGCCGAAGAAGCAGCACTCCATCCGGAGTTCGGGCTGGCCGGGCTGGTGGGCCGGCGGCCGGGGCACGGCCCGGGCAGGGTGCCTCCTAACGCCCTAACGGTGCACGTCGCGTCACAAAATGTAACCGGTTCCAGTCTTCCCCCTCCCCCACCCCTCGCCGGCCGGGCAGTGCATCATTCCTATGGCGTCACTCACACATAACGCAGCAGCAGGACTGCGATTCAGAGTCCTTTTCGTCGCTCTGTCTCTCTCGCTCTCACGGGGTGCACCGTGCGTACAGGTGCGAGAGAGGCAGAGCGACGACTCTCTGAATCAGTCTTCGACAGGGCGGTACTGTGACCAGCAATACCCCCGACTGCACCAAATCATTCCGCCCAGACTCTGGCGGCGAGGAGCGCCCCGGCTGGCTTGCCCTGCACTTGCTGGTGGTGTGTGCCATGTCCACCACAACCGACGTGTGCAACTCCGCGCCTTCCAGTCTTTCTCCGCTTCCGAGATCTCGGCACCGCAGCAGCCGCATTGCGTCTCCGGTCACCCTGTGGCGGTGGAGACACCCACGCCACACCGCACACAGCGCCACCAGGCTACCCGACCATCTCTGGACATTTTGAGCACAACTCGAATTGAATCGAGGGCTGATAGAGTGCACGCCATATATAGATAGAGTTCTTACGGATGAATCATATCCGTTTGATATGGGATCCACTGTGTGATAAGAGATCCATCTCCTATCATACAGTGGATCCTCCTATTTTACAGTGGAGTGGATCCTTTACACAGAAAGATCTCCCAGTTTGCTCAGTGCATCCTCTATACACCCTACCCTTAGAAGATATGCGTATGCATGCACACACCTTACAGTGGTGGACATTTTCACCTTGGGATGACCTTAGTGCGACTCGAGTCGCATTACGCATGAAGCGCAAGGACTGCAGCTCAAAACGCGCCCTGAGTTATGACCGCATCTGACGCCTTCCGGCGCTGCGCGCCGCGCCGCCCCCCGGGGCGCTGCACTTTGAACCGCCTAACGGTGCAGGCGGTGCAGGCTGCAGCCCGAAGCGGGCGAGAAGTGACGGCATGCAAATGCACAGGCGTTCGGCCGCGCGTTCGCGCCCACACTGCGATGCGTTCCCCGGGGCGCGTAGCGCATTCCCTGTTTACGGTCAAGACGCCGCGCCGTCTCTCTCGCACTCACGGGGCGTCCCGTACAGGTGCGAGAGAGACAGCGCGACGAAAACGACTCTCAGTCTGCGGACGGGGCTAGGCAGACGCAGCGGCAGACGCGCGCATATGCATTATACATATGAGCCAGTTAGCAGGCCTTGTTGTTCTTGCAAACAAAACGCAGTGCAGCCTCGTGGCCTCCATCGCCGGGCCGGCGTGAGCCGGGGGACAATGCCGGTGCAGCACGCTCATTCCGAATGGGGTTTCATCGCGCTGTCTCTCTCGCACCCCGATGGGACGCCCCGCGAGTGCGAGAGAGACAGAGTGACGAAAGCAGTGATGGGCTGGCCGCTTCCCACCGCAAAACAGTTGGGCGACACCGTGCCGCCAATCAGGGCGCCGTCAATCAGGGACTCATTGTCTGCACAAGCAGGCCGGGGCAGCCACACCACTGTCGCGACAAACGGTCTTATCTCGATCTCCGCGGGGGGCTGCCGGCGCACAGTGGCCCAGAAGACCGGTCGAGGCGGTCAAAATCCCGGACGCGTTTTGAGCTCCACAGTCGCTAAATGGGACTCGAACCGAATGTGTGACCCCACCAATGGGTTGCTCTCTGAACGAGGAATCCATTGGTGGGGTCACACGTTCGGTTTGAGTCCTGTTTAGCAACTCTGGAGCTCAAAACGCGTCTAGAGTTTTGGCCGCCTCCACCGGTCTTCTGGCCCATTGTACTGCGGCTCGTGCTGAGGGTGGACGGGTTGCAGTGGCGGATCCAGACCAGGCTTGAGGGAGGGGAAGTGAGCCTTTTTGCTGTTGATCCAGGCAAATATCTAGGGGGCAATCGGGGTCGATTTGTACGTTTGCCTCTCTGCCCCCTTTGGATTCGCTTGGTAGACTGTCCTCGGTGAGGCCCTGGAGGAGGTCCTACAGGAGGTCCTCGATGCCGTGGGCAGCGTGTGCGGACGACGCCGCGCCGACCACCCGGCACCCGGCCACTCCGTGGCGCCCAAAGCCGTCTGGAATGCCAGCCTGGCACCTCCGTTATGTGGGGCCGCTCGGGGCGGGGCGGGTCGGGGCGAGGCGGGGCGAGGCGGGGCGAGGCGGGGCGGCGGAGACGTCTGGCCATCGCGACGCCCGCAACGCCGTCCAGCCACAAGCCGGGAGGCGCAGGCAGAAAAAAGGCGGCGGTGCGCCTACACTGCTGCTGCAGTGCGCTAAGCAGCAAACGAGGCACTTATTCGGAGCACACGCTTCGAATGACAGGCAGAGACGTTTGCAGACCCCCCGCACAGTGCGAGCGAGGTGGCTGCAGAAGTAATGGGAGGAGATGAGTCTCTGTGGGTTTGATCCCGGTTTGAACCGTGGCTGGGTTGCCGCTGTGGGGGCTCACGAGAGTCGCTGTCATATTCATAATCAAAAATCAATCTCTTTGAAAGCGAAACCACTGGTAACCGCTTTGAGCACGCAGCTTTGAGTCACCGTAACGATCAGGGGGTGATCAATACAAACAAGCATCGAATGTGCTGGAACACATGAAGTGGTACTCGACGGGGGCGTAACACTCACCATGGCGAAGGGCGAGGTTGCCACTGATGAAGACGCCCTTCTGGCGACGCGTGGTTCGGGAGACACACAGACACACGCACACAAACACACGGCGGCGCGGCGCGGGTTCGGACGCGGGGCGGACGCGGGACGCCGACGGACGTCGGGGCTGATCGTGCAGAAGGCCGTGCTGGTCCGTGTGCACGGCACGCTCTACGAGGGTACACTGGCTCGCTGAGGCTCGGAGCGAGCAGCCCTGCCGGCCGCAGCCCCTCCCGGGCCCCTCCCTGCTGCCCCTCCAGCCCCTCCGCCCCGCCCCGCCCCGCGGCGAGGGCCCCTCAACCCGCCCACGGCCCACGGCGTGGCCCGCAGTGCCCGGCCCACGGCAGGAGCAGCAGGGCAGCGATCGGGCCGGCCCCCTCCGCCGGCCGCCCGGCCTCGCCCCTCGTAAGCCCCTCGGAACCAACGGGAAGACGGGGCAAACGGGCACAGCCTGGCGCAGCCGCGCCGCCAAGCCGAGGCGAGCCAAGGCGCAGCCGGATCACAGTCCGATACTCCCCTGCAACAAGCAGCTATCTACGCTCACTGTCTCGATAACCGACTATCTACGGGCGCTCTCCCGACAACCGGCTATCTACATGGGCTGTCTGGATAACCGACTATCCAACATCGTAGCGAGGTTAGGGTTGTCGTATAACGAAGTATTTTTCTCCATGACACTTAAAGCGACCCGTTTACACCATACTTAATCTTGCTTTGACAAACTTTTGACAAGTTTTGGTAAAGGTTTTGCGAGGGCAACTTAATTGGTTGGATAAATAAAAGCATTCAATCTCGCGAGGTGGAGAAAGCAGATAGTCGGTTATCCAGACAGCCCGTGTAGATAGCCGGTTGTCGGGAGAGCGCGCGTAGATAGTCGGTTATCGAGACAGTGAGCGTAGATAGCTGCTTGTTGCAGGGGGGTATCGAGTCGCTGTCGCCTAAGCTGCGGCGCGCGCGGCCCGGCGAGGCGCGAGCGGACCGCGGTCAGCTTGTGCGGAAGGAGGGGTCGACGGCCGGGCAGTGGAGTGCCCGCGGAGTGCCGCTATCCAGCCCGGACGCCGAGTCCAAGCCCCGCGCCGCGCGCCCCGCGCCGCCGTGACGGCCAGCGACAAGGTCCACGTCAACGTCCACACGAGTCGCCGACGACATCGAGTACCTCAGCGATATCGTGTACCTCGGCGACATCGTGTACCTGAGCGGAGCGACATCGTGTGTCTTAGCGACATCGTGTAACTCATTGACATCGAGCACCTCAATGTGTACCTCAGTGACATCGAGTACATCTGCGACATCGTGTACCTCAGTGACATCGTGTACCTCAGCGACATCGTGTGTCTCAGCGACATCGTGTAACTCATTGATATCGAGTACCTCAACGTGTACTTCATTGACGTCGTGCATTGACATCGACCTCTGTGACATCGTCCAAGACGTGTCCACGTGGACACAACGCGGACACACCTCCCCGCAATGCCAGTTGCCCCTCCCACTGGGGACCACGAGTACCACACCAGCCGATCGAACACCTTTCCCGACTTTTCCCCAAAGCTTCGAGATCTGCGCCGAGGAAACAGACACGAAGAGCAGTGTGAACGGGCGAGGGAAAAAAAAGTGTGAACCGAGAACGGTGTGGCTGCGAGTCCCGTTATGGTTGCGTGGTCTCATGACAGGCCAACACTTTGGGCCTGTTGTGATTGATTCGATCCGAGGAGCGAGAAGGAAATACCGAGCGGTACCCGGCGCACCCACGCACGCCACGGCCCGGCACGCCACGGCACGGCAAGCCACGCCAGGGCACGCCACGGCACGGCACGGTGGTCCCAGGCGGAGCTCATTTCCGAGCTCGCTGTGCTCCACGTACGCCACGCCACTCCTCTTTCTCCGCTATCTTCCGCTCCTTTTCTCCTTTCGCGAACCACAATAAGCAGTTGTTGTTATTGTTGTTGTTGTCGTCCGTCCGCGGCCTTCACGTGTCGCACCAAACGACGGCCAACGTGATATAGGCCTACTCGGATACTTTCTTTACTTTTTTCTACGTGTATATTTTTTTTTTTGCGGTTTGTGGGGTTTTGTTGGCATGGATCTGCCGCGGCGCCACAAGAAGCAGGGCAGTATGAGGTACTGCGGTGGGCGATGTGGGTCCCCGATACAGACCCGTCCGCCCTCCACAGCTGGCCTTGGTGATGGCGCTAACCAGGGCGGCGGTAGTTGATCGAGCCCTGGCAGGACTTCCCTCACGACAGCCGGGTGTCGCCCCCGTATCTCCGACGACAGAAGCCTCTCTCTCTCGCACTCATGAGGCGTTCCGTACAGGTGCGAGAGAGACAGAGCGACGTCCCCGCGCTGCGCGGAATCACTCAGCTGGCGCTCGTGACCGCGGTCGCGTTGGCGCTCCGCGCGGACTGAGGGCAACATGCCCGCCGCGCCCTTCTCGCGTCTCGGCCGCCGCAATTTGGCATCGCGTTACACTTTCCGCCGGCAGGACGCCTAACTCCGTCTCTCTCGCACCCACACGGGCCGCTCGGGGCGCCGCCCCGCGAACGCGAGCGAGACAGAGCGACGAAAACGACTCTCAGTCTGGCGCGGGAACAAAGGGACTGCATGCGGCGCGGCCGCTCCAGAAAACGCTGCCCGGCCCGTCAACACACTGATTCCGAAAGTCCTTTCCGTCGCTCTGTCTCTCTCGCACTCACGGGGCGTCCCGTATGGGTGCGAGGGAGACAGAGCGAGCGGCAGTAAAGCGTCGCGTCGCCGTGGCCCGAGGCGTGACCCACTGGCGCTGAAAACGGCGGACGAGAAGGTGGCTGCCGAGCACTGCCGTGGACCCGCGCGGTAATGGCTGCCCTGGCCTGGTATGCATGCTGCCGCTTTGGGCGTCGCGCCGCCTAGGGACTGACAGTCGTCGCTCTGTCTCTCTCGCACCTACACGCGACGCCCCGTGAGAGCGAGAGGGACAGAGCGAAGAAAACGACTCTCCAAATCAGTCGGCAGCCCCGGCCGCCCCGGCGGATGGATGCCACTCTCGCCCTGCCGCGCGTTCAAGTCTCCGCGGATCCGTTTTACGGAAGCAGACAACCACCACTTCAGCGAGTGGGAATGACCTTTGTCTCTAAAAGAGTGGATATCACAAGACAGACGGTTCAACTCATAAGAGACTGAGAGCAACAAACACCTTTTGTTCTCAACAAAACAAATAATTTCGAACTGACTCCAAACATCGTTCTGGGAACACGGTCTAGAATGTTCTTGTTGCATTTGACACGGATAAAACCTTACGAAGGGTTCTGAGCATATGCAAACTATAAACTATTTCGTTTGTTATACGAAGAAATAGTTCGTAAGCTACGCAGTATTTTCTTTGTCAGCTTAATGCTCAAAATACTTTGTTTTGACAAGCTACTTTTCTTTGTACGGCCAAAAATAGTTTGTAAGATTTTGAGAGTGCAAAACTGCGACCAAACAAGACCCAAGTCTCTCAGACTTGGGCGTGTCCCAGTCCCGAAAATAGGCGACTAACTCAGCGACGCGAGGCGAGAGCGCAGGGCGCAGCAGGTCGCCTTGTAACCAACCAAGCGACTCAGCGACCGTGCCGTGCCGTGCCGTGGCGTGCCGTGCCGGATCTGCGGGTGCTCTTTAATGCGCGGCTTGTGCTGCCGGCGTGATGAGGCCCTCCGTGACCCCCGTGTCGTGGCCGCCGCGCCAGACTGCTCGTTTACGTCGCTCCGTCTCTCTCGCACTCACGGGTGCCCCGCACAGGCGCGAGAGGGACAGAGCGACCAGAACGACTCCCTGAATCAGACTGCGATGCAGGGGCGACAGTCACGCCGCGCCCACTCTCGCCGAGACATGTCTCTCGTCTCCCTCCGGCCCCTGTCGAGCGACTTGTGGCCGCACGGATCGCCCGTGCCACCACTTAGCCGTAATAACCTCAACGCCAAGATGCTAGGCGCCCTCGCGTCCCCTTGCCCTTGTTTCGGCAATCCAATCTCGTGATCTGTCAGGCAGCTCATTTTACGACTTTTCTCCCCTACTGGACCGCGCGTGTCCAGGCCTGCCCGCGGAGCCGCGACTCCGTGGCGCCGGCTCGTCATCTACACATCCATCGGTTCGCCAATCCTAAGGAGGCACGGTCACCCTTAGCCCCGCCTTCGCCAATCCTAAGGAGGCACGGTCACCCTTGGCCCCGCCTTAGGGCGTGGCCACTTTCTTCTTTCCTTTCTTCTTGCATTTCTTATATATACGGGTGACGCTCTGCTCCGACACTCAGTCCAGCAGCAGCAGCCCTACAGCGCGCACCCTCACGGCTCTCGCCTAGCCGTGTGCCGCGCCCTTACCGGACTTAGCCTCTGGCTTGCAGCCCAGCCTTAGTCCCGGTCTCCTTAGCGGACATAGCCGCTACGCGCAACAGTCCGGCGCTTCAAAGCTCGACTCCCGCGCACAGCCATCGCTATCGATTTTCTTGGTTCGAGCCCAGCTCGCGGTCATTCCCTACGCTCTCGCTCCGCGCCACACCGCTCGCCATCACTGCACTTCGGTCTTCAACTTCACGCCCTGGCCATCGTCCACGGACATCGAACCGAAGCACTCCAAGCCGCTCATCAAGCTCATCCCTTTGGTACTGTATCCCATCAAGAGACCCGAACACCATTCGCGCTGTACTCCTTCTGATCTGAAATATATATTCTGAGTCATCTTCATCATCAACCAAACTGGTCTCGTCATTTAATTTAGCACAATACCACCTACATTGGTGACCCCGACGTGATTTATTGGTGTTCAGCGAGATTTGTTGACTCCAGTAGCGTCGTATTGTGTTAAACAATTTTTTAAAAATTCTCAGAGCTTTTCACTAGTTGCCCGATTCATTGTACAGGCCCGGTGGACTGAGTAGCCGGTATCCTTCGCGGCATAATTACGTTTTGCATTATATAACTTTCTCTCTCTAAGCTCTTTTCGAAAATTTTCAAAACAAAATTTTCTAATCATGGCACAAGAAGCTGCTGTACTTCAAGCGAGGATCGTCGAACTGGAAGCTGAGAAGGCAGAGCTTCTCGGACACGTTTTTCGGGTGAGTACCAAACTCCCTTCTTTCTGGTCCGACAAACCATCCGTGTGGTTCTCACAGGCGGAAGCCCAATTCGACGTTAACCGGATCACTGTTGAAAAGACGAAATATTCGTACGTCGTCGCCCAGCTCGACACGCGTATCGCAGCTGAGGTTGAGGACATCCTCACCGGTCCCGAAGCCAACAAAACTTATACAAAGTTGAAGGAAACGCTAATAAGTCGCCTTTCTCTGTCCGAGGAAAAACGCGTTCAACAATTAATTAAGGACGAGGAAATGGGAGACCGTAAGCCGTCTCAATTTCTTCGCTACCTGCGATCTTTGGCAGGCAACTCCACAGCCGTCAGCGATTCACTGCTGAAACAGATTTGGCTGCAGCGCCTGCCTAGCTCTGCGTCCGCAATCCTTACTTCGCAGACTGCTCTCGACCTGGAAGCTCTCGCTACACTGGCCGACCGCATAGTCGAGGTCGCACCGCCTTCAGTGCCAGCTATTCTCGCCGTTTCAAATAAGTCAGACGACGTGGCTTCGCTCACCAAAGAGCTATCAAAATTGAAGGCACAGATTGCATCCATGACGTCACGCGACAAGCGCGACAATCGATCGCGTTCCCGACCTCGCTCCCGCACGCCTGCGTGGACCCCTCCTAAACGCGAATCGCCATTTTGCTGGTATCACGAAAAGTATGCTGCCAAAGCCCAAAAGTGCGCGAGCCCGTGCTCCTTTCAAAAGGGAAACGCTCACGGCAGCCAGTAAACGCGGCGACAGGTTGCCTACCCACCAGGAGCCGCTTAGTGGCCTACGAGAAAACAACAGGCCATGGATTTCTTATTGATACTGGATCCGATCTATGCTGTTTTCCGCGCCGACTCCTCACTGGTCGTCGCCACCAACTCACAGCACACGAACTTAGTGCTGCCAACGGAAGCGTCATTAAGACGTACGGTCTTGTGAAGCTTGCGCTCAACTTTGGCTTACGGCGGTCATTTTCCTGGTCATTCATCATTGCCGATGTAAGCATGCCCATCATTGGAAACGATTTCCTGGCTTACTATCACTTGCTTCCCGATTGCAAATTAAAACGACTTATAGACGGAAAAACGAGCCTTTTCGTTTCATGCAACACAAGCACCGTCGCCCAGTTAAGCGTTAAAGCAGTGAGTGATTCTCTGCCCTACGCCGAACTTCTCTCTAAATTCCCAGAAATTACAAGGCCCCCAGGCAAGCCACGGGAAGTCGTGCACAACACGGTGCACTTCATAAAAACGCTTCCCGGCCCACCAGTGTCCTGCCGGCCCCGCCGACTCGTAGGCGAACGCCTCGCTACGGCGAAGGCGGAGTACGACGCCATGCTCCAGGACGGCACAGCTCGCCCCTCCGACAGCCCTTGGTCCTCCGCCTTGCACATCGTGCAAAAGAAAAGTGGTTCTGGATGGCGCCCTTGCGGTGACTACCGTGCGCTCAACACGCGTACGATTCCAGACTGCTACCCTGTCAAGCACATTCAAGATTTCGCCCACAACATTGCGGAATGCAAAGTTTTTAGCCTCATTGATTTGGTTAAAGCCTATCAACAAATTCCCGTTCACCCTGAGGATATTTGCAAAACTGCAGTAGCTACTCCTTTTGGACTCTTCGAATTTCCGTTCATGCCCTTCGGTTTGCGCAACGCGGCCCAAACCTTTCAACGATTTATGGACGAAGTCACTCGAGGTCTAAGCTTTTGCTACTGTTACATTGATGACATTCTCATCTTCTCCAAAACCCCGGAAGAGCACAAGACTCATCTGGAAATTTTACTGCAACGGTTGTCAAAATACGGTGTAGTAATCAACCCGTCAAAGTGCATTTTCGAAGCAACAGAATTGGATTTCCTTGGATATAGGATTTCTGCTGCTGGGATATCTCCACCGACTCACCGTGTCGAAGCACTTCGAAATTATCCTCTTCCTACTTCCATAAAGGATTTACGCCGATTTCTTGGCATGATTAATTTTTACAGAAGATTTTTGCCCCAGGCCGCTGAACTACAAGCGCCTCTGCACGAAATTCTTTCTGGACCCAAAGTCAAAGGATCTACTCCGGTCCCTTGGACTCCAGCCCTGCGAGCCGCATTCACCGCTTGCAAGGATCACCTAGCGAAAGCTACATTGCTTACGTACCCCAAAACTGGAGCCCCACTGGCGTTGTTCACAGACGTCTCTCTCAAATCTGCAGGAGCTGTTTTGCAACAGTTTGTCAACGGTTCATGGCAGCCCCTTGCTTTCTTCTCCAAGAAGCTTTCTCAGAGACATTCTGAGTGGCCTCCTTTTCACAGGGAATTATTGGCCATTTACGAAGGTGTTTTTCACTTCCGCCACGCATTGGAAGGACAACCCTTTACTATCTACACAGATCACAAACCGCTAATATTTTTGTTCACTCAAAAAAGGGACAAATTACCGCCAATACAGCGTAACCAACTAACGTACGTTTCGCAGTACACTACCGATGTACGCCACGTCAGCGGAGCGGACAACGTTGTCGCTGACGCACTCTCTCGCATCAATCTCGTTTCGCTGAAATCAGTCGACCACAAGGCCCTGGCTGAAGCGCAAGACGATGACGCTGAGCTACGCAGCTTACCAGCGGACTCGCCTCTCAAACTGGAAAGTTACACGGTACCAGGTACATGCATAATTTTGAAATGTGACATGTCCACAAGCCGTCCGCGCCCCTTCGTCCCAGCATCACTGCGTCGAGACATTTTCGACCAGCTCCACAACCTTAGTCACCCTGGCATCAGGACTACCGTCAAAATGGTGACCGAACGCTTTGTTTGGCCATCCATCAACAAGGACGTGCGCAATTGGGCACGCACTTGCATCCACTGCCAACGTTCCAAGGTTTCGCGTCACGTGACCGCGCCCTTGGGTACCTTTTCACTGCCCACGGCACGTTTTTCTCACATCCACATTGACCTTATCGGACCATTACCGGTAAGCAAAGGTTTCAAGTACTGCCTCACCTGCGTAGACAGGTGGACACGCTGGCCCGAAGTCTGCCCCATTCAGGACGTCACGGCTGACACAGTCGCGACCGCCTTCCTGAGGTGCTGGATAGCCCGATTTGGCGTTCCAGAACGGATTACGGTTGACCGTGGTTCCCAATTCCGTTCCTTCCTGTTCCACAACTTAGCAGAACGTTTCGGAATCGAAATGAATCACACGACAAGTTATCACCCAGCCGCCAACGGTCAAGTAGAAAGAATGCATCGCCAACTCAAAGCTGCGATAATGGCGCACGACAACATGCACTGGACAGACGCTCTACCACTCGTCCTCCTTGGCATCCGCAACGCTTTCAAGGAAGACATTCAAGCTACAACAGCCGAACTTGTGTTTGGTGAGAAACTGCGTCTACCTGGAGAACTCATCGCTGCCCCTCCAGACATCAACGTGGAGAAGTCGGAGTTCGCTGCAACACTGCAGCAACACTTCCAAAGGTTACGTCCTGTACCTGCTTCTCGACATGCTAATCCTAGTTCTTTTGTCTACAGAGACTTGGCGCAAGCAACACATGTCCTGCTTCGCGTTGACAAGGTACGTCGCTCCCTCGAGGCACCGTACACCGGTCCCTACCGCATCATTTCCCGGAGCGACGACGGCAAGAGCATCGTGCTGGACATCAAAGGCAAGCCTAACACGGTCTCAATCGACCGAGTTAAGCCGGCCTACCTCATCGCCCAGGACGACACTCCGGACGACCCTTCGCCCCCGCACGACGCCGTGCCGGTGCGGCAACCCGCCGGACCCGTGGCCGCTGCACCATCGCAGCGCCCCCAGCTCACACAGCCGAGTCCACGCACTCGCACTCCAACGGCACAGCCCGCGCCGCGTCCGTGCACGCGCACACCGACGGCGCCACCTGCTGCCGTCGCACCACCGACGACCCGCTCCGGTCGCCGGGTTCGCTTTCCTGACCGATTCATCCCTGGATGAATCGACTTCGCAGGGGGGTGATGTGGCCGCACGGATCGCCCGTGCCACCACTTAGCCGTAATAACCTCAACGCCAAGATGCTAGGCGCCCTCGCGTCCCCTTGCCCTTGTTTCGGCAATCCAATCTCGTGATCTGTCAGGCAGCTCATTTTACGACTTTTCTCCCCTACTGGACCGCGCGTGTCCAGGCCTGCCCGCGGAGCCGCGACTCCGTGGCGCCGGCTCGTCATCTACACATCCATCGGTTCGCCAATCCTAAGGAGGCACGGTCACCCTTAGCCCCGCCTTCGCCAATCCTAAGGAGGCACGGTCACCCTTGGCCCCGCCTTAGGGCGTGGCCACTTTCTTCTTTCCTTTCTTCTTGCATTTCTTATATATACGGGTGACGCTCTGCTCCGACACTCAGTCCAGCAGCAGCAGCCCTACAGCGCGCACCCTCACGGCTCTCGCCTAGCCGTGTGCCGCGCCCTTACCGGACTTAGCCTCTGGCTTGCAGCCCAGCCTTAGTCCCGGTCTCCTTAGCGGACATAGCCGCTACGCGCAACAGTCCGGCGCTTCAAAGCTCGACTCCCGCGCACAGCCATCGCTATCGATTTTCTTGGTTCGAGCCCAGCTCGCGGTCATTCCCTACGCTCTCGCTCCGCGCCACACCGCTCGCCATCACTGCACTTCGGTCTTCAACTTCACGCCCTGGCCATCGTCCACGGACATCGAACCGAAGCACTCCAAGCCGCTCATCAAGCTCATCCCTTTGGTACTGTATCCCATCAAGAGACCCGAACACCATTCGCGCTGTACTCCTTCTGATCTGAAATATATATTCTGAGTCATCTTCATCATCAACCAAACTGGTCTCGTCATTTAATTTAGCACAATACCACCTACAGACTCCGGAGAGCAGTTCGTCACTCTGTCTCTCTCGCACTCGTGGGGCACTCCGTGAGGGTGCGAGAGAGACGGAGCGACGAAGCGACTCTCCTGAGTCGCGCTGCTGTTCCCCGAGGCGGCGCACAGTGGGCCAGAAGACCGGTGGAGGCGGTCAAAACTCTAGACGCGTTTTGAGCTCCAGAGTCGCTAAATAGGACTCGAAGCGAACGTGTGACCCCTCCAATGGATTGCTCTCCGAACGAGGAATCCATTGGTGGGGTCACACGTTCAGTTCGAGGCCTGTTAAGCGACTCTGGAGCTCAAAACGCGTCTAGAGTTTTGGCCGCCGGCCCACTGTGCGGCGATGATCACTCCCCGATGCAGCAGGCTGATTCCGAAGACTCGCTTTTCCGTCGCTCTGTCTCTGTCGCACCCATGGGACCCTCCGCAGGGGTGCGAGAGAGACAGAGCGACTGGACGGGATCGCTCTGCAGTGCGAAGCCGACTATCTCGTTGCCGAGCGCTGCCGCACTGCGAAGTGGAGTTCTAGGACAATCAGCCGCAGTGGAAGTCATTGTGGGAATCGGTCGAGGGGGTCACCGCCAATTATCTAAAAGGCCACAGAAGGCGGCGGCAAAATTGATTCAGCGGTTTGTGATGATTTGCTAGAAAAAAAAATGAAGCAGCCAGGAGAAGTATTATTTTTTTTGCTATTTTATCCCTGCGTAGAACCAGAATGTTCCGCGAATTGATGAGTATTTTGAAGACAAGGAGGACAACGACAGCGTGACAGCGCGCTGCACTGCGGCCCCCTTCCCGCACTGCAGCCTGATTCCAAGAGTCGTTCTCGTCGCTCTGTCTCTCTCGCACCTATGGGGCGCCCCCTAGAGGTGGGGGTGAGACAGAGCGACGAAAACGACTCTCGGAATCAGTCTGCTGTAGAGAGTGACGGGGCTAAAATCGGAATCGCGGCCGTCAATGGGGTACCGACCGACCGAGGAAGATGGTTCGGCCCTTCCGGAGAAAAACATCAACAATGAAAGGCCGGCTTCAGTTTTTTCCGCTCCCGAATAATAGTTACACTCTTTGACGCGGTCGTCTCGCGGCGTGTAATACTCCGGAATATTGCAGCCGGGATGGCGATTACAAAATCCCGTTCGCGCGATGATTGTGGAACGGATGTTGTTCGCTCAGAGTGCCGAGTGGGTGCTAACGCCCGATTTGCTCCGGGGAAGAGCTCTGTTTCAACTCCAGGGGGGTTCCAGGACGGCTCCAGGAGACTCCAGCGGGGTTCCAGGACGACTCCAGGAGTCTCCAGCGGCCCCCGGCGGCGCCACCGCCGTCCTGCTTGGCGCCGAGCTCATTCCTCAGCCGCCTGGTTCCGAGGGATCGTCTCTGTCTCTCTCGCACCCCTACGGGACGCCCCAGGAGTGCGACAAGGACAGATGCAATCGAGACGCGGCAGGGACATCGGGATGCAGCGCCGTAGGTTTGTTTGCCTTGGGCTGCGGCGGCGTGTCAGCTCACAGTGCACCGGACGAAAGGCGTATCTGGCGTCATTTCCAGTGTGTGTGGAGGCTGCTAACTCTGCACTTCCAAGTGTGGAGACTTACTCCACACCAGGAAGTGTGGAGTTGTCCACGTTTGGTTTCACAGTGGGCTCTAGCGACCGCCCGATTCGGACTTGGGACCCCGCTGCTGACATGTCAATTATTTGAGCGCTGCGGCTTCGCCCAGCTTCGGCTTCCCCGCCGTCCCGGGCATGAAATTCTCATTTGCCTAACCGGGCCGAGGCGAGGCTCAGCCTCAGCAGGCCGACTCCGAGAGTCGTGTTCGTCGCTCTGTCTCGCTCGCACCCACATGGGACGCCCTACGAGTGCGAGAGAGACAGAGCGACGAACACGCGACTCTCGGCCGGACGAGGGTCGTTGCCCGCTCGCCGCAGCTCGCCGCCTCCACTGGACCGGGCGCGAAGCGCGAAGCACGAAAACCAATCAGCGGCCCATGAGCCGCCTCCCCACTATGCAGAGACGAGACGGGGAAGCGCCGCACAGTGCGCCAGAAGACTGGTGGAGGTGGCAAAAAAATCTAGACGCGTTTTGAGCTCCAGAGTAGCTAAACAGACCTCGAACTGAACGTGTGACCCCACCAATGGACTGCTCTCCCAACGAGGAATCCATTGGTGGGGTCACACGTTCGGTTCGAGGCCTGTTTAGCGACTCTGGAGCTCAAAACGCGTCTAGAAGTTTTGCCGCCTCCACCGGTCTTCTGGCCCACTGTGCGCCGCCCAGCGACCGGGCCAACGGAATTTCGTGTCGTGCTCAAGATCGCCGAAAAGTGGTTCCGGCAGGGCGATAGCAGAGCGACGCCGGCCTTCCTGCTCCGGTCCGCGAGTACATGCCGCCCGGAGGAAAGAGATGAATCGGAAACTAGCCTAACCAACATGATAGCCCCCCACAAAGTAAGTGAGGCTGTTTCCGAAACCTGTGCCGTCGGATACCGAGGACGTGCCAAAGGTTTGCTAAAGGCGGTTTTGGTCCACAACCTCACTGAGAATCCAAACGCTATGAGTATAGCGTCAATTGGTGCAATGCAAAAGCATTGCACATGAAGTGCAATGCCTCCCTATTCCCATGCATTAGCATAGGGCATTTTCGGGATGCATTGCACTTAAGGTGCAATATGGCTGAGGCATTGCACGTATGGTGCGATATGTCGACGCATTTGCACCATACGTGCAATACTCATAGCGTTTGGAATTTCAGTGCTGCAAACCTGCAGGCTGATTCCGAGAGTCTTTTTCGTCGCTGTAGGTGCGAGCGAGGCGGAGCGACAAAAGCGACCCTCGGAATCCAGCTGCTGGAAATTGTGATCCCCGCTGAAACAATATAAGAAAGGTGCTTGAGTCCAGTGTACCGTGGCCAGCAGTGGGTATGAAAGCTGCCCCTTCTATGAGTGTAGCCGTCTGCTGGGCTAGATAACCAACACGGCCAAAAGTCAACATCCCTAGCCCGTCCGAATCATCTCCTGCGAGCGCACTGTTAGAAGAGGGTTCGACTTTCGAACCCACATTGGCTCGAAATACGGCCTTAAGTAGGATCGAACCCATCTCGGTTCGAAAATCGGACGGGGTGGCCGATACATGCAGGGTTCGATATTTTGACAAGATGAGGGTTCGATTTTCGGCTCTGGTAGGGTTCGATTTTCGGCTTTGTAGGGATTGAGCTTCGCTGAGACAAGTGAATTATCAAACTTGACCACATAGACATTTGCTTACAGATTTAGATTTGTCTCGAGAAGACAAACAAAAAATGTCAAGACATGTTATGGGTTAAAATAGAAAATGGAAGAGTTATTGGATTTTTAGAGTGCAAAAATGGTAAAAAAGACATTAGAAGTTGAATAACTCTTTCATTTTTCATTTTAACCCATGATATGTGTTGACATTTTTGGTTTTTCTACTTGAGACGAATCTAAATCTGTAAGGTGATGTGTGTTCGGTCAAGTTTTCTAATTGACTCCAGGCGCTGCCGTACGAAAGACCGCAGAGCCGAAAGCCGGCGAAGCGGTCGAAAATCGAACCCCGCGTCCGAAAATTGAACCCACGTGGGTTCGATTCTACTTAAGCCCGATTTTCGAGCCGGGCGAGAATTGGGACCGCCTTTCCACGGTTCGAAAATCGAACCCCCTTCTAACAGTGCGGGCGCTCTGAGCCGTTCCGATATGTGGGTTACGAGCCGCGCGGCAGTGAGGCGCCCTTGGCCTGCCTTGGCCCGGCCGGTGCTCCTGGAGGAGCCGCGGGAATCCGGGTCAGCAGTGTGGGCCCCGATGGGCCATCCGGGCCATCCCGCGCCGAGTGGGGGCCAAGGAGATGAGCCTCTCGGAGAGGCGTGGGGTCGACGGCCGGGCCTCGGCCGAGGCCGGGCGAAGGCAAGGCGAAGGCCACGGTGGCCACGGCCTGGTCCAGGGTCCAGCGTGCGGACTGGCGCGCCATGGCGACTGGGACGTGTCGGCCCGCTCTGACCGAGGCTCTGACCGAGGCTCTGACGCACACATTCGCGCGCGCAGGCTGGCAGGACTTTGGCGTAGCGCGTAGCGGTACCGCACGCCAGCATTCCGCTGCAGACTGATTCCGAGAGTCGCTTTCGTCGCTCTGCCTCTGCCGCACCAACACGGGACGCCCAGTGAGTGCGGGAGAGACAGAGCGACGAAAACGACCCCCGGGACCAGTCTGCTGTCGGCCGGCCGGACATGCGCTAAGCGTCAAAGACGACATGGCCTGCTGCGCGGTGCTGCGCGGTTACGTGGTTACGAGTGTGCCAACGCGTGCGGAGCGTGGTGGAGCGTGGCTCCGGCCGCTCGCCGTGCGCCTGTCCAACGTTTCCTCGCTGCGTCTTCGGTGACGCGCGCCAACGAGGATGGGAAACTCAGAGGAACACACAATCGTCACGGCGAGCGCGCTTCCCGTCGATATAGGAAGGGCCGCAGCCCCGGTCACAGCCGCGTGGCGGAAGAAGGCTTGTCCGAGCAGAAAAGGCTTGCATCATGAGGGTGACGCTCCCGGGCAGTCCGCCCGCCAAACGTCGGGTAGGCAACCCGCTGCACGCGGCAGCCCTTGGGTTGCCTACGTTCATTACCATTACCATTAAAGGCTACACCAGTCCACCTGCAAGACGCCGGGTAGGCAACCCGCTGCACGCCGCAGCCCTTCAGTTGCGACCTTGAGTCCACCCGTCAACACCGGGTAGGCAATCCGTTGCATGCCACAGCGATTCGGTTGCCTCCCTTGAGTCCGCCCGCCAAACGTCGGGTAGGCAACCCGCTGCACGCCGCAGCCCTTCGGTTGCCTACCTTCATTACCATTACCATTAAGGGTTAGACCACAACTACTGATCGTATGCCACTTCAGTCCGCCCGCCAGACGCCGGGTAGGCAACCAGCTGCACTCAGCAGCACCTCGGTTGCCTACCCTGCCTCTCAACCATTACCATTAAGGGCTAGACCACACATGATATGCCGGCGGTCAAGACGCCACAGACCCCAGAGGCGGCGTACCCGCGGCGCTGGCGGCGCGCTCTGGCGGAGCTCCGCGCAAGGTGTCTCCGGTGCGCGGGGTACTTTCTCCCGGCACGGCGGGTAGCGCCGCATGGCCGCAGCGCGGGGTATCGACAAGGCGTGACCGGCGGTGCCAGCGGTGCGGCACGGCGTGCGCGACGCCCACCACTCGAAGCACGGATGACACCACTACACTGCTCCCAGCGCCTCCTGCGCTTCCAGGGCCGCGATAGCGCCTAATTAGGGCCTTTTACGACTCTTTATGTCTTTTACGGTGATACACTGCCGCTCCGGATTCTTAGCGCGTTACTAACGAACTAAAACTAACGTCACAACGTTCACTCCATCGTCGTCGCTGACCCGACGTGTTACGTAGACCGACGGTCACCTCTGCTCGACGGTCTGACATATTGAAATGACTTGGACTCTTGAACCCGGGGGACTTGGATAATCCGGCTTACAACAAATTGCTAGTCCGTGATCCGGACAACTAGAAATTGGAAGGGAATACGGGGTACTTCTGGAAAATTTTGAGGTAATCCGGAGAATCCGAGGGTAATCCGTAATCCCACTGGCACGAAATTTGCCAGTCGTTACCTCCTCACTTGAACCTCATACGATCCTCTGCTTATTTAGAGTCCGTGTGTTGTCGGCATTGCATCACAAAACAAGAACATCCGTACTGCTATTAGCCCGTTATACCGTTGGACTCCTTTTGATCTGGTGCAGGCACACCACTCATAATTTTGGCTGCCTCTTGATGACAATGTGACGACTGATTTCCCGCTGGAATGTCATTAATCTTACCCGATGACCGCTCATTAGAATGTCACCAATTGTTTGTTGTCCAACGTCATTGTTATTACTTTCAAGATGGAAATGTCATTCATGATTTAACTACAAAGAGGAGTAACAAATTTTGACAGTGTAATTGATTTTGTTCAAATATCGCACCCATCGCGGAGCCAAACAATACTGTGCATTCTTATTTTCTCGTTCAAAATTTCGCAGCGAGTGGAAATTTGACACGACTTTATTTGTTGTTTTCAGCAAAAGATTCCCTTAAACATTGAATTGAACCTAATAGAAGAATACAAGACACGGCAAGGTGTCAGCTACCTTTTATTTTTTGAGACAGAATAAACTTTGTCCTGACAACAGTGATCGCTGCTTTTTTTTTTTGGAATCACGCGGAAAGTGTGGGAACGACGTCGCCGATCTGCACGGGACGCGCCATGGCGCGGCTCGGTCTCCGAAAGTCCCAAACTAAAAACCTCCGCGTCGCGGCGTCGTCGCGTCGGCTTCGCGTTTTGGCGCTTTGTCGCGCCACTGGATTGCGTTTCGTCTCGATTCGCGACGCGTCGCGGCAGTCGCGGCCCGCGTGCGCGTTTCCCGCGGCAAAAACCAGCGCACCAACGCCGAACTCCGTCGTCGCTCTGCCTCTCTCAGGCCCTTCCGGGACTCCCCATGAGAGGGAGAGAGGCGGAGCGACGGAGGCAGCCCGCCGCTGCAAGTGCATACGCCTCGGCATACGCCGTTTGGTTCCGTTCAGGAAAGCGGGCCGCTCACAAAACGCGCCGAGTGAAAACGCGAACGGCGCAAACAGAGTAGGTTGCGGCGACACATCCAGAGTAGGTACTCCAGCAGTCCTGTGCACCGTGACATCGCCCTGCGCCGCTCCTCCCTCCCCCGTCCCCCGACTCCGTCGCACGCCCGTGCGTTAGCACACTTACACTCCAGCGGCCCGCGCGCCCGCGCCTCCGGGCCCGGCCTGGGGCTGGAGAGCTTCCAGGCTGCTTCGCTGGGCTTCGCCGTGCTTCGCCTTCGCAGACAAGCACGTCGTAAAGTGCAACCGGCTGAACCTAGTGACGTCCTTACGTCTGCTTGAGGTAACCTCAACCTCGCAGCCCAGCTGTTCCCCTGCAGCTGCTCTCGGGTTGCAGAGACAGTGAAACGGTGGGACAGTGAAACTACGAAGCGATGAGGCCAGACTACTGAACCTGGCCGTGCTAGTGCCTGACCTCTTGCGAGGTGCACTGTAAAAAATTCCGTACTTTTGTACGGAAATGGTACAGAAAAAAATAGTACGGAGGTACGGAGAAAAGTACGGAACATTCCGTACTTGCTCCATATGAACCCACGTAAATGGGTACGGAAAAAAGGTACGGAACGTTCCGTAGTTGGCAAGTACGGACGGTCCAGGCAAATTATTGACCAGACATGTTCCGTACTTTTTCCGTACTTTTTTCTGACAGTGTGACAATGCACAGACCGCTTTAAACTATCAGCACTGAAGGCTCTGAGTTTGGAACACCTTACTCGAAACTTGAAAATGAAAGTTTAAGTTGATAGCGGTTGATAGTCCTCATCACTGACCCATTCAATTTGACAGTGCAGCCACCACCATGTGGTTAAGCCCATGTAATACTGTCCCTAGGTTGTGATCAGTCCCCCAGCCCAGTTACAACCTTAAGCTAGTAACAAAAGAACAGTAGAAACATTTCGTGGAGTATTAAGGAAATTTACTAAAGCTGAGTCGACGCGATGAAATCTCTTTGACAGTGCCACGGCGACATTCCTCTAATTACTATTTACTATTCATTTGCCCAACTCTGTCCAGCGTACCGTGTCGGACGCGTGCGGCGGGGCGGGCCAGCGGCACACGCGCGCGCCAAGCCAGTGTGTGTGTCTGTGTGTTTGTGTGTGTGAGTGCGCCCACGACACGTATCGCTCACACACTGCGAGGTGTTGGCGGCTTCACAGGCTGCCGCCTTCACTCTGCGGGGCACGAATAGCGAGAGGGTTCATCCACGAGCACAGGCATGCACGCACACAAACAGACACGCAGACTCAGGTACTTGCACAGACAGACAGATAGACAGACACGCAGACACAGATAGATGCACAGACAGCTAGGCAGACACAGATACACGCACTGCACAGACAGCTAGGCACGCAAAGATACATGCACAGACAGCTAGGCAGACACAGATACACGCACTGCACAGACAGCTAGGCACGCAAAGATACATGCACAGACAGCTAGGCAGACACAGATAATGCACAGATAGATGCGCAGACAGATACACAGATACACACAATCTCACTCACACACAAACACATCCTCTTGAATCCTCAAACAATTATTACGGGCCATACAACGAAAATTATATTTCTGAAACAAGTAAGTAAATAGTTTGAACCTTGCCTTGTGCGCTCAAAATACTTCAGAAGTTTTTTTCACAGTGCGCGTACATATACTCGTAAACACACACACACACACAATAACACACACACAAACACAATGACGCACGCGAAGGCCCGCGGGCTGCAGCGGGTAAACTGTG